GGGGGGAGGGGGTGATGAAGAGGAGGAAGGAAGAGTACGAGTACGAAAGACGTTCCCCGTAGGGTTCAAGTAGTAATACACAGTCAAAGCATGAGCAAGTCAACCACGAGGCACGAATAACTTTGAGAACAAACAAATAAAAGCCAGTGGCAGTAGAGAGAGAGAGAGAGAGAGTCTGGTAGGGGGGTGTGGTGGTCCAGCACGGACATCAGACGGGGACATCGTGTGCAATTTGTCATTTTGTCGTTGGGTCGGGTCATCTCCACATGAATTTCGGTGGATGCAAAACGGCGCGCGCGCACGAGGGAGCAGCCGTGCGCCTCGGCCTTGGCACCAGCTAGGGAGTATTACGGAGGAGATAATAGCATCACTCGTCCTCTCTACTCGACGCTTGTACTCGTAGATGGAGACCATGCCATCGACCTTGGTTGATCGCGGTCCCGTCTCCACGTTGATGACAAGGATTCCATGACAAGAGTGACGGGTGACGCTTGTTCCCCTTTTTAGCGCCACCCGTCAAAAGAAAGAGTATACACACGGGTACGGACAGAGAGGGACGGAAGGGAAGTTTCTCTCGAGTTGGTGTGGGACCTATTACGGCGCAAGGACAAGATCAAGCGGGAAGGCGGGCACACACCCACACAGCTTGGGAGAGACAAGAGAGAGAGAGGAGAGAGAGAGAGGATGTTGCGTACTCCTGTACCGATGTGACCACCGGAGGCTGATCTGGTACATGACCTGTACAAGTTGCAGAGAGAGGTACAAGACGAGGTACAGCATGCTGTATGCATAGCAAGAGTGGTCGTACCTAACAGTACATGTGTACATGTGTAGGCTGTAGCTGTACGTTGTATCGACAGATGTAATGGTACATGCTAGAGTACCAGTATTACTACATCCGGACAGAATATGCGTGATACTTGATAGTTCAAGGGTAAGGTAATCAAATCGATCGGTCGAAAAAAGAAGATGGTTACCAAAAAAAAAAAAATTAAAAATAAAATAAAGAGAGAGAGAGAGAGAGAGGGAGGGAACGGAAATGTCATGATGGGATATGCATGTGTTATTACCAACTTCACTCCCCGCATTGGCACCGGGAGCTGATGTGCATGCATTAGCGGAAGCGGAATGCCCAGTGGAGTATGAGTGCTCGCAGAGCAACATGGACATGGATCATGGTGGCAGGGCGGCATGGCGACATGGTACTTCTCTCTTCCCGGTTCCTCTTCCCGTGCCTCTTTCCCGTCATGATGACTGATCCCTCGTAACTCTGCGGGCTCTCTCACTCTCTGGGTTCCTGCTCCACGTTAATAGGAGAGTGCAGGTTACAGGTTACATTCATCTGTTGAAGTATCTTGACTACATTACCTGCTCGCAGCTGCAGCATGACCACCCGTAGCATCGCGCTCGTCGGGTTTGCTGTTATAAACTCACATGTACTCGTGCTCAGGTCGCATGGGGCATCTATAGACAAGACATGGCGAGTAAACATGGACCACGGACGTATGCAGTTTATGTCGGTGGCGGCCGAGGAGATGGTGTCGAGGTGGAACACACACGCACGCACGCACGCACGCACGCACGCACGCACACGCAGACCAGAGTCCGGTTTAGTGCTCCGTACATGTTACCTGAGCTGTACCAGCAGTCGGTGCGATACCTGGATGGGCACTTGCAAGCTCACTCAGAAACAAGGTGATTGTGCTGCTGCCGATACCAGGCCATGCTCGACTACCGGTACTCTCGTACTGACGCGGTGCGAAAACCCCCAGATGGAACTGCCACGATGCTAGTCAACAGCAGCACGAACGATGGCAACTTGCGGGGTAGTAGCTCCTTGCCTCTTGTAGGCTAGGATCCGCCGAGTAGCGAGGAACTTGCACTTGGCATGTCTTGCCTGGTTCTCGGTACTGTGCCTGACGTGTGTTTTGCCTCTCCTTTGCCTCTCTGCTTACTCGTGACATCTCCCACCTTGTATGCTGGTGTGCTCGCACCTCTGCACTGTTGCGCCGTAGCTCTTCTGTTTTCCTTGTTTCCCTTCTCATGTACACCGTCGGTAACTACTTTGTGTGTTGGCGGTCTTCGTGTCGGCCCTACTACTTCGTACAAGTGCGTTGCTTCCATCATCATCAATACGACGTGGCCGCCCAACCGCCTTGTACCCATGCTTGTACCTCTCCTCGTACTCTGACCGTAGTATCTCCGTCGAGGTACGAGTACATGTACTCGGAATACTTGGAACAGTTGCAGCTGTACAGATCATTATGCCCCTAGTACCTGACCCCTGTCGTCGCCAATCTCCACCGGCAGCACAGCTTCCAACCAGAATGACCAGCCCAAGCCAGGCACCAGACAGAGCTGGCAACTGGCAAGCAAAACCATCAACAACAACAACACCCACTCGCTCGATGCGCTTTGACCTTGACCCATCTCTTCACAGTCGAACCCCCCTACCTGTAATCTGTACTCCTGCCCCGAACGAGTTAAGTATACGAGTACAGTTTACCCATGGCGCCGGACTGATTTCCGTCTCGGTCCTCAAGCTCTCTCTTCCGCATCCCCCCCCCCTCACCACCACACCACCATCAATCGTCAACCGCACACCGCGAGTCTAGAGCTCTTCTCCCTGGTCGAGAGATGGTGATGCTGGGCAGGGCTGCTGAGTACACGCAGTACTCCATACCCAGAGTTACCTCGAGAAGAGAGCTCGCAAACCCCACGTCTTCTTGGCCATCTGGCTGGAATCCAAGCCACAGAGAGGTCCCATGCAACCCCCCCCCCCCCTCCATTATCCGACAGATTCCATCCCGTATCGACACTGCCAGCAGCTAACCCGGTCCACTTGGAGCGCCACGAGAGCCATCTTGTGAGCGCCCACATGGTGTACGCGGCACGCGACCGGGAGGGGGAAGCCAGAGGTCAACAGAGCGAGATCGGGAAAGCCAGGCGGCCAAGCTTCCGCTCGATGCTCTCGGTGACGGTTTCTTGAGAAGAGTCACAGTAGATGAGATGACGTACCTGCACGCCATCGTACAATGTACGTGCGATGACGCCAGTTCGACGAGCTCTGAGCTTGCCGACGTCAAAATCCCTTACTCAGACGTGCCCATGCCAAGCATAACCTAGTGTATAGGAACACAACCGTACATGAGACTCTGAAGGCTAACGAGGCAATCATGGACTCTTCCCGTCAGACAGAGGCGAAAGCCCCTCATGGACCCCCCCCCCCCGGGGTCCCCTAGGGACCTCTCAAGGGGTCTCCCCTGCCGGTAATCTGTAGACCCATGAGTATTAACGCGTCATGGGTAAGGGGAGAGGGAGGATGCCGTTGGAATCAGATTGAATCCCCCAACAGAACCGGATGTCAGTTGCCGTGGGACTCATCATATTGCGACGAGTAATGCTACCATGGGAAATCTCACCATGAGCCTTGTCCTACGGTCCGAGTGTCCCCGAGTGTGAAGGACAGCGAGGCCCATTGATGCGCAGATTTTTCTTCTTCTTGTATTACGCCGAGCAGATAGGGTCCCACTTACCGGTAGTCTTACTCGGTTGTGCTAGAGACTAGAGTGAATGTTTCCCTATCATCCCATATAGCAGGGTCAAGTGTCTGGCCGTGTCGGGCGGTCATCCTCGAGCGGTGATAGGTAACACCTCACTTGCTCGTACGCGGCCGTATTACTTCCGGCACCAGGGCAGAGGACCCTTGCGTAGTATCGGTATTACGGCCAAGGATACAGCTGGAGTTTCCAATGGCTTTCTAGGCGGTGCTCTCCCCCGTCAAGCGTAGCAGTCGTCGGTCCGTAGGTCCTATCCTCCAGCCGTGAGCAAGGAAGGATTCGGTCTGTGGGCAAGGCTCGAGGATCCGGTGTGTAGTGTGTACGCATGTCAAGACCCACCGACATACTCCCTACACCTATCTGTATATCTCGCTGCTATCGATGCAGACGCACGTACATGTACGAGCCACGGTCAATAGCGGACACGTCTACATCGTAGAATTTAGATCGTCAGACTGCGTACGAGCAGGTAGGTACAGCTGTAGGTAGCATCATCAGTAGACGGAGAGATGGAACCGTTTTGATGGAAAGAGAAATCACTCACATTGTGGCAGAGAGAAAAAAGGAAGAAGGGAAGAAATTCCCCTCACCCCCCCGATAGGTCAAGGCTCCGCGCTGCCCTATGTATTGACAGACTTACGGAGAAAAAAAGAAAGAAGAATAATGACATGGTGGGATTAATTGATGTGCCTCGTTGGCCAAGCCAATGTCTCCCACAAGGCTGCAACGAGTACGGAACATGCGCCTACTCCGCACAGAAGTAATGCCAATACGGGCGAGCATCCATGCACTCTTGATCCGTACACTCGGATGAACCATAATTGCCTTACCTTCGAACAGTGCCAACGGCCGAATCCGTCTAGGGGGGGGAGGGGGAGGAAGCTTGCCTGCTGTGGTCATGAGGATTTATATGGACAGACTCACTCCAATCTTCTTCGCTGCCAATATCAGAACGAGAAGGGCTCGGTCTCGGCAAAAAAAAAAACAAAAAAAGAAAGGGAAGGAAAGCTATACGCATGCTAGTAAAGCAGGCCTATCATCATTGAAAATTCACCGAAAATTTCTGCTTCGTTGCTCGCCTTCTCTCAGGTCCAACTTGAGGATCGGGATTCACCCCATAGCCTTTACACGGCCATTTCATGCTGTCTGTTTCCATCACTTAAATGCACTGTGTCTTTCGTTGTGCGCATGTAGGATATCTGATTCAGCGAGCTTGTATCCTGATCTCTTACCGCCCACAGTCCTCACTGGTCACGATCACGGGCATGGCCCTGGACGAGGATGGAGGTTGTGGGGAGGGCTCACAGCTTAGAGCCATCACCAGTCATGGACACGTAGTGGGGTTTTGCTCTCATCATCGGGGTTTTTTTCGCGAGGAGGGCTACGTGATAATTCGTCTACCCAGCAGCAACCTGGCATTGCCGACGTCTCTTGCCAAGCACATTCAGACGTCCCGAGGGGGTATACGAGAGAGTGCAGCGCTAGATCCCATCCGCACACAAAACAGGGCAAGGATTAGAGCCCCCCGCTCTGAACGTTGTCATCCAAACTCCTTCCTCAGCGCTGACAACGACGAAGTTCCAGGCTCAGCAGGCGAGCGTGTCAGGAAGCGGCAATAGAATGATATAAGAATACCAGCTGAACCGACGCTGCCTCGCCCCGCCCGACCTCACACAAGCCTCGCTCTTCTCCATCGCAGACCCCGAATTAGTCCCAGGCATTACAAGACCTTCCTCCGCGACACCACGTACCCACCCCCGCATACTAAGGGGTACTCTACGGCTATCGGCCACGATAATCCCCTGGTTCGCTCCCGGGATGAAGCTGGACGTCCTCACCTGTCCATGGACCGAGTAGGAGGTCATCGGGTCCCGCGTGGTCCTAGAAGACAGCTTCTACGATTACCTTGAAAGCCCATTACCCGTCGACTAGGGTCGGCCGCACACGGCCAGTTGGATACCCCTCGACTTGAACTAGCCGGGGTGACGAGGCCATTTCGGACGTCTCCTCGCTCTGTCCTCGAGGACGCCGCCAAGCGAATCCGGTACAGCAGGAACGGTTGCCCCCGGACATCCGTCGACCATGCCTCCCTCTCTACCACCCTCGGCCTGTCGTGGGGCGAAAGATACCGCCGCAGATGCAGGAGTCGAGACTGTAAACGACGACTTCGCACATGGTACCATACAGCGGCTATGGGGTGGCACACCTCACAACCGAACGGGACGTGACGGAGGCAAGACCTTCTGGGGTATGCACTACGACCCGTCTTCGGGGGACCAGGGTCAAGCTGGACCCGTGCGAAGCGAGTGTGGTACATTGGTGTGTTTTCTCGGAGTTTCCATACCTCCGGCGGACCTACCGGAGTTTCTTCTGGTTTCGATCGCATAGTCCTTTCATCACAAAGGTCTTGATATACCGTACGGATTTGCGTAATATATTACATACTATATCCGTATCATCCTGGATCCCGATTCAAACTGCAACACACATGTGGGCACTCATAGCTAGCAGCTGACAACGGCGTCAAGAGTACAGAATTCAATTGCAAGACAGGTAATGGTGGGAGACAATGGAAGCGTCGTTAGTCGGAAGTGAAAAGGCCGAATGCCCGTCGAGAATGCCAGTGCAAGACCTGCAATAGAAAGAAAAGAAACCAGAGGAAACTAAGAGAACAACCAGATGGCAAGAAAAGCACGTTGGTACGTTCAGAGAGAAGACAATGCCTACTGGTACCAGGAGGATGTAGTGAGACGCAAGAGACAAGATGAACAAGACACAAGTGATAAGACACACAAGAACAATAATGGATGGCATGGTACGACGCAAAGACACACAAAGGTACAGGATTATGGCAGAGTCACTAAAAAGAACCAAAGCAAAAATAATACGTCTGTCGTGATTTCGAACTGGATGGCAATCCACCGAGAAGATTTTTGCTATCTCCAATACGCCAAGTCAATGGGACCTAAACTAAAGGAAAACCGCGCGTTCGTGGGGTGTCGTAGCAACAAGTTCCAGAGAGTCAAAGAGCGTTTTTTCTTGAAAAGACTTGAGAGTTGGAAAGGGAGAATAAAAATCAAAGGAAGAAGGTGACAAAGGAAAATAGATATTTTGTCGCGAGAGCGTGTGGTTGGAAAAGCCATGACAAGAAAAACCAAACGTCTTTGTGAGCGTCGAATCATTCAAAACCAGTTTCTCTGCGCCGTAGTAGTCGAATAAAGAGAAGAAACAACAATTACAACCAGGCACCAGATGATGTTAATTCGCAAATTTTTTTCGCAGAATGAGCAAAAAGGGGGCCCTCATGCAGAAAATCCATCGTAGACGTCAGGCTTACTTGAGAGAATGAAGTAGTTAGCAAATGTACACAGGAGAGTTGAGTTTTCGCCGTCCGAGTTACGAGAGGATGCTCACCTGAGGGCCAGCAGGTCCCTGGGGGCCGGCGAAGGCAGGACCATAGGGGCCAGGACCGCCAGGACCGCCGGGGCCGGCAGGACCATGCCCAGGCATGCCCAGGTAATGAGGAGGAGGGGGGGCAGGGCGGTAGGGGGTACCAACGCCGGAGTTGTTCTGGGAGCGGCCCCAGCTGAGGCGGACGCGCGAATTACCGATGGGGTAGCCCTGCATCTGGTTGATGGCCATCTCGGCGGCGTGGCGGTGGACAAACTGGACAAAGCCGCAGCCCTTGCCAGGAGGGATCTTGACGTATGTTATCTCGCCAAAGCCCTGGAAGAAGGAGCGGAGCTCATCCTCGGTCACGTAGCCCGAGAGGCCACCGACGAAGACGGTCGTGTTGTTCGGATCGGTGAACTGGTTCATCTGGGTGGCGGGGTTGAAGCCGCCGCCGCCGCCGCCACCGCCGTAGGGGAATCCTCCCATGGCATTACCAGCCCACATCTGCTGCTGGGGCATGCCGCCGCCCATCATGGGGTTGCCGTGGTGACCGTGGTTGAAACCGTGGTGGTTGTTGTTGCTGCTGTGACTGTTAGTCCACCGTACATCTAAAATCACCCTATACACTTGTCTATACCGCCAAAACGGCTGTTGTGTGACGGTGGAGAGGATGAGAGCCAAGAGCATACCGGTTCTTGGGAGTGGCCGTGGAGATGCGCATGGGCCTGTTGCCGCAGTAGACGCCCTGCATCTCGACAAGGGCACGCTGCTGGTCGTTCTCGTCGGAGAAGCGGACGAAGCCGTAGCCGCGGCTCTGGCCAGACATAGCATCCGTCATGATCTTAGCCGACTTGCAAGAGGGGAAACGAGCCTGGAAAAGGGAGACAAGAACGTATTCGTTGACTTCGGGACCGAGATCGCCGACGAAAATACTATACTCAGGTCCGCGATCCTCACTGTTGTTGGGACGCTTTGTTAGTGGCCGTTTCTCTTGCTCACTGCCGAAGAGGGGAGTAGGGGGTTCAGCTCCAACGGAGAAGCCATCTCCGAGGACAGCTTCCATCGTGGGAAAAAGGAAGTGGAAGAAATAACAGGGGCAGGAGATGGTGCAATGCCAGACAGGGCAAGCGCAAGCGGTTATTGATGCTTTTAAAAACAAGACGCAACCAGGGAAAGCGCGTGGGATTAATCCAGGTAAAGGTCGTACAGAGTGATGGGAGGCGAAGGTAAAAAGAGGTGAGGCAGAGAGAGAATGGAGAGCAGGCTGGCAAGGGAGTGGAGGGGAAAAAAGGGCAGATGTGAAGTGAAGTGAAGTGAGGTGAAGGGGAGGTAAACAGCTGGCGGGCAGCTGTTTGCCCAAGACAGAGGTGTAGTCACAACAGAAGGAGATCGAAACTTACCGTCGGTCAACGAGACCACCACCGGAAGCCCAGTTGAGCTTGAACTGGCGCGAGCTGTTAGGGACAGGGGTCCCGTTCAGCCCCAGAGCCTTGTTAGCGGCATCGGGGGTCTGGAACTCGACAAAGCAGTATCCAGCGTTGCCAGAGTTCTTGTCGCGGATGACCTTGACGTTGACAGTCTCGGCTGTCGAAGAGAGAAAGACACCCTTGATGAAGTTCTCGTCCATCCAAGGTTCAAGCTCGCCCATCCAGAGAGTCGTCTTGGGAGAGTCACCTCCGGCGGAGCCAGGGGGAGGGGGAACAGCCATGTCGCCAGCCGGGGGGGTACCGTTGGCAAAGGGCATCTGGCCAGGAGCAGGGCCACCGTTGGCGGGAACGCCAGAGAAGGGAGTGTTGTGTTCCATTTTGAACTGCGTCGTTGTCAGCAACTTGAGGCTTCTCGCCAGAGGGACCAGGTCGATATATGCTATCTGCTGCCACCCGACAGCTGGTAAGACCCGAGGAAGGCACTGTGCGTTTCCAATTGACTTTTATTTGAGGCAAAAAGGAGTTAGATTTCTTGACTCACTTTGTTTACGAAAGGGGTAGTCGACAGATATCAGAACCAGAACGTTTCTTATAGATGCGGTTCAAGGGCTTCAAGCCAAAGTGGAAGAAAAAATCGACAAAGGACTTGAAACAAGTTGAAGGTCGTGGAGTGGGAATAGAGACACAGTCTGCGAACCCTCGTTGTGATGTTAAGGACGACGAAGCCAAAGACGAGGTAAAGCGATATATGTCGTGAAGAATCGATAGACCTGACAGATACGCCAAGCTAGATTCGTAGGATAGATGGAACAAGACCCAAAGAAGGTTTAATGAACGTGGATAGAAGAGTTAAAACGCTTCTAAAATCACGACAACCTGAGCGCACACGCGGTTAGTCTCGAAGTCAGCCAAGGTATTAATATTATCAGTTCCTCCTGGCGGTGGTCATGAAGGGTTATCCTGAACCCTGCGAGCTCGAGTTCCGCCTCCCCGGCAAGGCGTCCAGCGTGGGCTGTTGCTTGACAAACGAGCATGGGCTAGCCATCTAAGAAGGGTGGCCAGTTCTAACCGCCCCTCAAGTCCTGCGATGTCCGAGCGATCGGCTGTCAAGGAAGACCGCGCGCTGCACTGCGGAGCTGACCAAGAGCTCCCCCATGTGCACGTCATTGCCAGATAAACACTTGTTGATGCCAGCATCGAGGAACTTTCGGTTGAGATATCCCTCGCACGACAGCAATACAGCAATATATATCCGCTGAATCGTCAACGAAGCATTTCCGGCTGTCGAATAGGAATGGGGTTGGATTCGGGGCAATGGGGGTTTGTCATCTTCAGGCTTGATGTCTAGTCCATATGGGCAAGTAAGCACCATGGAGTGGCATCTCTCAGGTTGCCGGGAATGATGACGCAATCATGTCGCAAACCGGCCCCGGAACATCTAGTCGCAAAACCGGTCGCAGAGCGATATGAGGCGGCATGAATTGCGAGCTAGAAGAGTGTCCTTGTCGATGATGCATCTCGCCTCTGGGAGACTGTTATTTGTCGTATGCACAGCTTAGCCGGGATAGCCGGCCGAGCCGTGGAGAAGTGGCCAAGGTGGCGAAATTCCTTCCTTTGAAGAAAAAAAGGTGCATAATGTCCGTCGCAGTGTAAAGGGTCGACAATATATTCCAAAAGGTCGTCCGGCATCATCGTCGTCGTCGTCGCCAAATGATTCGGACTTTGTCGACATCGCCGGGGGAGGGCGCAGTTTGGGAGGGGGGAAGTCATCGGATCCAAGACGCACCGCGCAGGGAAAAAAAAAAAAAGGGCCAAACATGCACACACGCACACCAAAGGAACCACTCCGCCAGGAGACACTGTACATGGTATAAAAAAAGGTAAAATCAAAGGAAAAGAAAACTCACTTTTATGCGCCGGTAAAGAAAACAAGAATCCTCAGCCAATTCGCCGAAAAAAACGCGCAAGGGAATAAACCGTAGCAGCCGTGACGAAAAAAAAGAAGACGAAAAGAGGAGGAAGTTGATGAGTATGCGAAGAAAGGCGACGATGGCTGGCGAAAGCTTTTTTTTTTTGCCCTCTCTGTCTGGGCCCGCTGTAGCTGGGTCTTCTTGTCTGGTTTGGCTGGCCTCTGCTTTGGGCTACGACGCAATCCACACCACACAAGAGAACTGTGGCCGAGTCGCGCGCGGGGACTGGGCGTGAGTGGAGAAAACTTAGTGGCAAGGGGGGGGGCGTGTTGTTCCAGTAGCGCAGGCAAGGGGATCTTCGATTTCGCACTGACTTGGACGGTTGCACGCACACACTTCTTGTTGCTATTGAGAACGGTTGAATGGGCACCTGCTGCAAGGCACATAAGAAGTCAAAACAAAACCAACCGTTGTAAGGGTGAGATGGAGATGGTTGAAGAGAAATGAGAGGGGGAGAGGTACGTATTACTGGCTGTGGTGATGGTATAGTCTGCACACACGTCAAAGGAGGGAAGGAAGGAAAAAAGAAACGTCACAAATAATATCACTTTACAGGGCAGAGGATGGAGAAAGAAGTAGAAAAAGGAATCATCGGTAGGAGACCAAGGATATAAGAGAGAGACGGTTATGAGCAAAAAGCCGCTAGCTGTCGCACCGGTTAGGATAAGCCAGAGTTAAACAGGAACATAAGGTTGGCCCTATTTACTGGCTAATAGCAGATATCCCTCGACTGGAAGTTTGTTCAGTAACATTACATAGTAGAGACAGCACCCGTACAGTGTATCAAGTCTGCATATGTTCTACGTGCGGGACGACGGTCAATATCGTTAGACTCGTTTTGAAGAGAAAGAGAAAGAGAGAAAGAGAAGAGAGGGAGAAAGAGAGAAAGGCCAGTGATACTGTGTGTGCGTGCTCAGGGGGTGTGTTTAGTCAACACGCTGCCACTGGTCGGAGGCTCTCGTCCGCCAGAAATATGGCCAGTGCCAGTAAGACTGTGGTATGTACTGTATATTATGACATGGACACGGAGACTATCATATGAAAGACGATGGTATTTTGCTGAGAAAAAAATATGGGTCCGGCTGTAGAATACAGGCTCAGAAAGGACAGTCGGATTTGCAGAGAAAGCTATTGGGAAGGACTAGTAGAAGCAGTGGTTCTCGTAGATGTTACGTGATGATGGAAACAGCAAGAAGGACTAAAACAGGTGAGGGCCAGCTGTGGGACCGAAACTGGGTTGACTGGGAAGGCACGTTTGGCCGTACTTTCTATACCTGGAGAATGTGGGCAAACCTGAAGGGAAAAAAAAAAGCTGGTGCGACCTACGACGAGCAAGGAAGAAGCAACAGGCCCTGATGTAGGCACCCGCAAGTACGAGTACGATCGCGAGAGGGTAATAAGGTGCGGTAATTGATACATGGAGTAGGTAATAATAAGGGGGTGACAGCTCTAGGGGATCTGCTAATTAATATGTACGAATAGTACGTCGTAGACTATAGCAGATCGGAGTGCAGAATACAGGTATGAATGCTGCAAATGAACCGTTGCTCGTCGTCGATGACATCGTAAATAACCAGGGCAGGCATTAGAAAAAGACGTCAGCTTTCCCGCTGCAATAAAAGAACATGCATATTCAATCCAGTTTTTTTTTTACTGTGGTCCCGCCCGTAGCCCTGCCCTGTGGCCCTGTGGGAGAAGCATGGATGGATGTATGGATTGAGAGAGAGGAAACATAAGCAAGGAACCTTGGGGACGGGAGGGGGTGTATGTAATACAGTTATCGGGGCTGGACTCTTGGGACTGGGCTGGGCTTAGGCTAGCGGGGTGTTGACGCCTCATTAACCTGGAAGCTCAAAGGCTCTTGCTGGCTGGTTAACTGTGCCTACTGGCTGATAGGCCTGTGGCTCCGGTCTGCTCTGGGCCTTGGTTGCACGGGCACTCCATGGGCTCAGGGCACCTTCCAAGGTCCTCCCCTGCGCACCACCACGCACACAGCCCTGACTTGGTGGGTTGGATCACGAAATCTTGCACTGCAGCAACCTTGCCCACTCAACATGGCATCTGGCCAGGTCTGTCTATCGGGAGAGGGGAGGGTCTGGAAGAGCAAGCACATATTACTTACAAAGAGCACGTCGTGATGCGATATTTGCGTCGCAGTAATACCGAAACATGAAATTCTGGGGAGACATGGAACCAGGTCCTACATACCCGATCAGACGCCCCGTGGTGTCCATCCAAACAAGCAGGTCACCAGCAAACAATGGCCTCTCTACAATGGCCCCCTCTTTTTATCGTTCAGAAAGAAAGAGGAGGGGGGAAGAAGCTGCACTTGCCCCAAGACTTCCTGTTACAGAGTGCTGCAGCATAGGACTTTCTCCGTCTACACTCATAGTTGCGCACGATCAGTTACTTCGTGCGCCCCGTACGAGTACAGTGCACGAGTCGTAGAGGGCAGTATGGGGCACATAGGTCTAAGAAATAGCTTGCCCTGTGTCTGTGTCTGTGTGTCCTACTCTTGGTTCGTTCGGTGAATGCCATGAGCGCGAAGACTGGGGGGGGGTAGACTAGTACGAGTACGAGGACTGGAATAAGTTATCACTCGTATTAGTATGGCATTTTATCAGCGTCGGCCTACTCGTACGAGTGCGTTCTCAACTCAGCCTCCCCTTCTCTCAGCACGTCAGGGGTGGGAAGAGAGTGCTCTGGCATGCACCGTCTACGAAGTATTATTACTGCTCGTACGGGCGGTGCACATCCCCAGCACAACACAACCGTTTTCCAGGCTGAAAAGCCGATCGCCCAAAGAATTAGTGGAATAAACTATAGCGTACTCATATTGCTCTGTAATGTACAGATCTATACTCCATACATATATCAGTACTGCTGCCCACAAAGTGATACATGGAGTCTGTATGTAATTTCACACTTGTCTTGGTTTCAAACAAAACCCTCCCCCCCCCTCCATCTCTGTAGTTGCATATTACACACCACGTCCTATATCCCCATCCCTTGCAGAGAAATCCGACAAGTTCGACTCATCGCCGTCAGCCGGACCTACCTTGTTCGTACCATCCAGGCTCCCAATCCCCCAACCTGGGCGTCTTATCGGGGTTTCCACGCCTGGACTATGACGGTATGCTGGCGGGCTGTTGTTTCAAAGAGCACCCAAACGCCCCCCATGTCCCACAGTCTACAGCTGATCCTGCTCTACATCCTGGACGAATCAGATTACCCCGTCTAACCAAGTTCACTGAAGAGTCCCAGAGGGCTACTCGTAGAGGGCGAATGGATGTACCCGACGTACGTCACTATCATGGTCGAGTTCAGCTCTGATTTAAAAAGTGCTCACTTATTGCTCCATATTCGTATGATGATGTGCTAGTTAGTATTGGCCTGTATCATTTCCGTAGGGGCCGCCTCACCTAGGGTGCTCCTTACCTAGGGTGCTCCTTACCTAGGGTGCTCCTTGTAGAGACGATGACTGCCCAAGCGTCATAATCACGTGCAAAAAAAAAAAAGTTCGCCGTCTCACATAGAAGGTCGCGACTACTACACCACGATTGTTGCCGTTTTACACTCGAAAACTGTGTTCATTCGATCGTGCAAGTTAGTCTCGAAGCCACGATGAGAAGATGATCCAGTTACGACTCCTTCGACTTCTTCGAGCAAAGCAACCGAAAAAGGTGGGCAAGAGATGGTTTGCCCCCTTGCTGGCTTGTTGGGTAGCTAGCAATTATTACAACATACATTGATACTCGTAAATCGTACAAGTATCTTACTGCTAGCCTCTAGGGAGGCCCATCCCCCCCTTGTGCCCCCCAAAGAAGTCTGCATATAATAACGCGTTCCAGGTTCCAAGCTGTTGGGTCCGCGGGCAGAGGAGCGACAGAGTTCCCAGCAGCCCAACAGGCCTACAAGTTTGAACCTCGTAAATGCGCAGATCTCCCGAAACTGAGAGAGATCAAACATTACGGAGTATTGATTGGGGTTACAGTCAATTGCAACAATGGTCTTTTGTGTGTCATGTGTTCCACACTGTAAGCGCGATACGCATTCGCCACGCCACATTATAATATTAAGTCGGGAAAACTAATACATTGTGGTTTACCTGGCGTACGAGTACTGAGGGCTTAGTACGTGTGGGACGCTTTGCCCTCCACCCAAGCTCCAGGGAACTTGACCGCAACCTGATTGCTCGTACAACATGACCCGACGCCCCTCCCGCCCAAACTCCACGATGGGTTTTTTCAAACGATAGAAATGCTTATTGGATCTGGAACATACATGCCGCTTTTCCATCCTGCAAAACAGCTGTGCTTGCCTTAGCGTATCGCAGTAGCTTAGAGGGCGGAGAGGGGAGCGAGCACCCATTACTGTGGCGGCGAGTCTACGAGTACTCGTACGCACCAACAAACCTTTTACCGTGCAGCTCACGGGTATGTTCTTGGTATTGATGAGTGCCCCCCCCCCCCCTCCTTTTTCTATCTTTTTTTTTTTTTACTTTCTTACCCGCAACTATAATGCCTCTACTCTAGTCAGTGTCCCGGGAACTCGATAATTGTTGTCTCATACAAATCCCTGCCGCCCGATTCTCCCCGCGGAATCCTGGGGAGGAGATGGGATGGCCACCTAGATCAGTCACATCTCACATACGCTGTTTGGCTGCTTATCGAGGAAGACCATTTCAACCGTTGCAGTCACTACGAAGACGTGACAAAGTTTGCTCATCGCCAAGTGTTGAGATGATGGGCCCGTGGGGGGAAGAGAATGGAAGGAGAGGCACCGATTGGCCGCCTTCAAACTTGTAGAATGGTAAACAACAGTATCCTTCCTCCCTCCATGCTCACAAAGAGGTGTGACTTTGATACGGTGAGACCCTGTTTGCCTGGCGAATGCCCGAGACTTCCGATGAGCTCCTCAAAGAGAAGCATTCAAGAAAAGAGTTGGGGGTACGTTGCTTGTATGATGTGCCACCTTCTATCATGTTTTATTTTACCGAAAATGAGGGCGGAATGTGAGGGAACAACAAAGAATCCAGCCGGTACTAATTCGGGCTAGCTGTTTGCTGTTTGCCTAGCTCTAACGCCAACCAGAAGGCCAGCTGGCAAAATGCTGCTTACTCCATTGACAGCTATGGCTCTCACAAGTGACAGTCTGTCAAGATCAAATACATAGATATGATGCTACCACTAGGGGGGGGATACATAGGAATGATGGATATATTAACAGTGACGCCTCTATGCAAACTTATATAGCTGCGTATGCCCTTTAACCGGTAGACGACGCCTAAATTATATGACTAAGCAACCAGGGGCTGCTGCCACACACTCACATCTGTAAATAGCCTCATAGATAGGCACACATATCGACCCAGGTGGTATACGTAGGCAGAAACCACTGTATCATTGCCTACGAGTCATCGCGTGTTGTCGGCCTGGAAGCACATTGGCGATGGTATAGGGTAGCTTATTTTCTTGGACTTCATATCCTTAGCTTTGGTTACCCCATTCCCACGTGATCCACATCGCTGGACGTTAATATCCAAAAGCAAAAGGGCCAATCTGTGTCACAGATGGTGTTTTTTTCAGGTGTCATGGCCTAGCATGTGGGGTTTGTAATTCAAATTACATGATCTCCCCGTCGTCGCGAGCGTTGAACCAAGCTCTCAGAGTGCTTCACGTGACGTCATGTTAGGTGGTGCTTGTACCTGTCTGCACCTTGAGAGGCGATACTGCTGAGTCATCACCAAAACGTCAGACTTGCCCTGCCTGATGGACACATAGACGATACGGTAGACACGGAAAGGGAATTGCTTCGTCACGTCCCAGTTGCCTGGTTTCAAGTTTTTGAGTAAAGAATGCGCGATCCTGCACCTGAATAAACGACGGACACCAAAAATCTGAACTGTAATTACCCATCCTTTTTTCCCGTGCCTATTCAACGCTTGCACGTGCAGTACATCCCGCCCGACCCCGTCATAAGAAGCTTCGAGGGACGCGGCACCATGGCAGCCGCACCGGCAGAGCAACGAGAGCTGCAGCTAGTGCAGAGCGTGGAATTCAAGATCCTGGGCGTTGCGAACAAAGAGGAGAAGCTCCAGCAACTGCTGCAGCGCTATCTGGCCCCTCTGGCCCTCAAAGCGGCCAGTGAACATGAGTCGGTCAGAAAGAAGGTGAGTGAGGCGCCCAGGCCGTACAACTGCATTCGCCCGGCCATAATCCATACTGACAAACAACTTTGCAGACGGCTCAAGTCCTGGGACTACTTCACACCTTCATCCAGCCCCCGCAGTTAGTACCGTCGCCATCTTCTCATGGCTCAGTAAATGGAGATAGGTATACTAACCGGCGAATAGGATCGTGCTCCCAGTCAAGGTGCTTCTGGAGCAGTACAAGGCGACTGACTCGGCGGTCCTCAAACAGTTCGACATCTCCTTCATCCAGCACAGCTTGGAGCGCATCGATGAGCATGACAGGAGGGAGCTTGTACCCATTGCTCTCCGTGGAAGCTCTGCTGACAAAGGCCGGCCAAGAGCCGGACCCTTCTTTCGCATCATCTTGCGACTCCTTCTTGATGCCCGCATACCGCCCCGCGGGAGCCAAGACGACGAAAAGTTCCGCGACTCCATTGGACTTTCAGAAGGTGCTGACGCCGAGTATACCGCAGAAATGATCAACCTTTTTTTCAGGTTGAGAATTCCCGTTGGTATCCAGACTTGGTACGAAGCAAACTTCACCATGGACAAAGCCAGCGTCGACCTCTTCCGTGTAGAGGACGTCAAGGCACACAAAATCTACCAGCGATTTCTGGAATTAAAGGCGAAGCTTGTGAGCTTCCTCGCCAGTGGCGCTTTCACAGACATGGAGAAACTCGTCCCTGCCATCTATGCTGCATCGAGTTTCGACAGCCGCGTGGCGTCAGCGGCCGAGGAGGTTATCAAGAGAACTTCCGTCTCGATGGAAGATCCGACTCTTGTTTCAAACCTTTTCCGAGCACATGCTACACTTCCGGTCCCTTATCGAATCCGCATACTCGGCATTCTTTCAAAATCGATACATTCAATATCAATGGCCAAAGACATCATGGACGTTGTTACGCTAGACCTACCGTCATCAACATCCCCTGAAGGACAGGACCTGGCACTTGCACCGGCGAGTGCCCTCGAACGGAACAAGCTACACAAGGCCCTTTTCCAGTACCTTTCCTGGGTGGCCAGGATGGGGTCGTCTCTTGAGGGGTTTACAGTTGGGCCCAAACTCATCGAACGATTAGTCGGATTCATTGAATACCAAGGGTGGCCATCCCCAGAGTCCAAAAATGAAGACGAAATAGCTTTGCGTTCAAAGGCTTACGAGACAATTGGTCTCCTCGCTCAGTCCGACAAAAACTTACCGGCCAAGGACCGTCTTTCACTTGGCATTTGGCTGTTGCAGTCTCTCTCACAGGACCGAAGTGACGAATCGGTCGTGAGTATCGACGGAGCGCTATCCAGCGTGTCAGCCAATATGCCCCTAGTGGAAGGAGAGGATTCTGTAAGCCTCAGGAACATGTTGATTTCTTCAATGGCGCCGTCCAACGATGGACCACCAGTGCGTAGCACTCGACATGCCGCTGTCAAGCTCTGCAATCAATGCCTGAAATTCTCAGACGTTATTGCTCGATGGATCGATATCCTGGCTATAGGTAGCGGCCAGAACGAAAGGAGCGATGTGATTGAACAGGGTCAAAAAGGTCTGGATCCGTGGACCTACTATTCCGAGGGCGAGGCCACACGCTCTTTTCCTGACTGGCGGGACATGACCGTCATGTTCTTTGGTTCAGAAATTACAGTAGACAAGGACCCCTTTCCCAAGTCGGTAGACGATATCCCTGAACCGTTGGCTAGCCCTGAAATTGTGTTTAGGAACTTTGGGAATTTGAACCGAGGGGCCTTTCCTATTGCCCTGCGGTATGTCAAACTAATCATGTTCCTCTCCGCGCTGGAGAGCTTCAAGCTGGAGTCCAATTGGATGGATAGACTTGAGACGCAGGTGAGAACCGACATAGGAACCAGGACAAGAATTCGACAGTACCTTCGATCCGTCGACAGTCGATACTGGATATTCTTCCTAGAGGCTTGTTTGATCGGCGCAACAAGTGAGAGTCCAAACGTGTCAGAAGAATCCATTCGAAGCTTTGTCGATGTCGCCTCGCTCAGCCCAAGAGACCCTCTTGGGCATCTGGCCCTAGCTGGGAGCGGCCTCGACAAACTCATCGAATCAAACAACAAGGAAATTCGGACTCTGAGCTCCAAAGCTTTTGGAATCGTGGCCTCGCATCCCAGCCTCTCAGAGGAAGCGATCAGGCAGTGGAGGGACTCAGTAACCCCTAGCTTCGTCGACGGCGAGAAATGCATCGGCCCCCAATTGAACGCACTCCAAGGCAACCTGCTCGCACTTGGCCACCAATGCTCGCGATCTGTTTTTTACGGGCATGCAGTTCCTGAGGGCTTCGAATTCCCGCTGCGCTTCCTCGTCGGCGACTCCGTACCTCCATCTTTACGAGAGACGGCTTTTGATACGTTTGCACAGCTATGGTCCGCCGGCCTTGCAATCCCACCGCCGGAGGGGGAGAACTCCATCGGAAAGGTTGTGGATGTGCTCACGGCTCATGCAAAGAAGGAGAACGAGAGGGCGATATTCGCTCTTGGTCGGCTTGCTGTCGGACTGGGCTCTCAACAACAAGAGGGGGGTCAGCAAGATGCTGCGGAGCAACCCGGCATGTTGACTGGCGGAGCTCTGGGCCGAATTTTGAAGGAGCTTTTTGGCCTCCACGAGATTAAGAGGACCGAAGTTCAGTTCACGGTCGGTGATGCCATCAGCGCTGCCGTCGCACGATGGGACTCGGACTTTGTCAAGCTGACATTGGATGTCGAACCTTGCAATGAGACGAGCCTTGGCGGAGTGCGCAAGGAACTGATCACGGCCACTCTGGACAAGCTGTTCTTGGACTGCAAGGGGACAAAGCCGTCCCTTCTGAAGGCCTCGGGTATCTGGCTATTCTGCATCATCCAATACAGCTCTGATCTCCCAGAAATCCAGTCACGTCTGCGTGAGGCACAAGCGGCTTTCATGAGGCTCCTCAGCGCGAGGGACGAACTGGTACAGGAGACTGCTTCCCGTGGTCTCTCGCTTGTGTACGAGCGTGGTGACGAAGACCTGAAGAGCACGCTGGTCAAGGATCTAGTGGGTGCCTTCACCGGCACCGGGACGCAGCTCAAGGTTGAGCAAGACACGGAACTCTTTGAGCCCGGGGCCCTACCCACAGGGGAAGGAAGTTCAGTCACCTCGTACAAAGACATTGTCGATCTGGCCAACGAGGTGGGCGACCAGCGGTTGGTGTACAAGTTCATGTCTCTGGCGTCGAATGCGGCAACATGGTCTACCCGCTCGGCCTTTGGCCGCTTTGGACTCTCCACCATCCTGTCCGATTCCGAGGTGGACCCCAAGCTATATCCCAAATTGTTCAGGTACCGATTCGACCCGAACCCCAATGTGCAACGATCCATGGACGATATCTGGAAGGCCCTCGTCAAGGACCCGGGCACCGTTCTGGATGAGAACTTTGATGACATCCTCGAAGATCTAATGGGCAGTATACTGGGCCGAGAATGGAGGATGCGAGAGGCAAGCTGTGCCGCCATATCTGACCTCCTTCAGAGTCGCCCCTTTGTCAAGTACGAGAAGCGATACCGGGATATCTGGAACGCGGCGCTCAAGGTCTTGGACGATGTCAAGGGTAGTGTCCGGGAAGCGGCACTACGGCTTTGCATGGCACTCTCAAACAACCTCGTCCGCCAGTTGGAGGAGGGTAATGACAGCTCAGCCGCCAAAGCGATGATGAAGGAGGCCCTGCCCTTTCTTCTCTCCGACAGGGGCGTGGAGAGCTCGGTCAAGGATGTACAGGTCTTTGCGACCATCACGGTGATGAATATTGCCAAGAAGGGCGGGAATGCTCTGAGGTCGTTCATTCCAGACATGGTACCTCAGCTTCTAGGGTTGCTGAGTACGATCGAACCAGAGCAGATCAATTACCATTATCAGAGGGCCGGCGACGATAGCCGTGATCAGATCGACAAGCTTCGATCCCAGATGGTGAACAGGTCACCCATATCGGAGGCGTTGGAGAATTGTCTGCGATTCATCAACGAGGACGTCATGGTCAAGCTGGTGCCTAAACTTGAGGCGACTATCAAAGCCGCCATTGGCATGCCGACCAAGATAGGATGTAGCCGCGTCATCACGATCCTTTTTACCCGCCATACCACCGACATCAAACCTTTCTCTGGAAGGTTCCTCAGGATCATGGAGAAGCACGCCATGGAGAAGAATGACGAAGTGAGTCAGGCTTATGCCCGCGCAGCTGCTTATATCATAAGGGTGGCTCCAGACGCGGAGAAGTTGGGTTTCTGCCAACGGCTGGTGAAGATGTACCTGGCGTCAGAGGAGGAGTCCCGACGACAGAAGATTGCCGACGTTGTGGTGTCATTGGCCAAGATATCGGCCGACCATTTCACCGCAAACGAGACGGAGCTCCTGCCCTTTGCTTACCTTGGCATGCACGACACGGACGAGTACACTGAAAAGGTCTTCAAGGAGGTGTGGGACCAGCACGCGGGAAGTAGCCGGACTGTCGTTCGCTACGTGCAGGAGATTGTCTCGCTGGTGGAGCAGTGCCTGGAGACGACGCAATGGGCTCTGCGACACACCGCAGCCTTTACAGTCGGCGCAATGGTGTCCGATGTGGCCAGCGCCAGTGAGGCGACGGGAGAGATTGCCGAGGCTAACCTGCGGAGCATGTGGCCAATATTCGACAAGGTCTTGGCTCTCAAGACGTTTCCAGGCAAGGAGAAGCTCCTCGTGTCGTATCCGCTCTTGGTGGAGAAGGGCGGCGCCCTCTGGCGGAACGACGCGCAGGTCGCGGCCCAGATGAGGAAGATTGCCATCCGGGAGGCAAAGAGGAACAATGCCGAGTATCGCGTCCACGCTTTCAAGTGCCTCTGGCAGTTCGCCAAGGCACGGGATGATCTGGACATGCTGGAGGAGATCGCCGAGATTGTCACACCTCACCTTGAGAAACTCCGGGATGAAGATGCTATGGAGGTCGACACTAAGGAGGAACTCGTCTCGGCGACGGCCAAGAATGCGCTGGAGGCGATCGCCCGCGGCTACAACCGGCCCAGGATGGAGAGCAGCCCGAAACCAGTCCTCGAGAGCATCATCAAGCTGCTCAAGCCCTACCTGGGAAGCACCAAGTTTGGTGCCATCAAGCGGGATGTCTGGTACGATTCCGTCTGTGAGATGCTGAAGCCCTTTGCCAGCAAGCCCAGCCAACAAGGTCTGGACGCACCGATCACGACGGACAGGGACAGCGACGGACTGTCACTGGCGTATCTCCGCAGCTTGGACGTGGAGCAGGCAGAGGCGGGGGTCGAGTCGCAGAGAATTCGACGCTCCGAGGCCCTATCGGCGGTGGTAAAGGCTAGGATGGCAGGAGTGTTTGGGGTCGACGGCCCGAGCTTGCAGGAGTTTGCAGAGGAGGCCCAGACGGCCCTGGAGCGAGAGCGGGCGCTGAAGCCGCAACAGGCGATGAGGACGGCTATGAAGGACTTGCGGGAGGCGATATCCAGGGAGGACAAGGATGCCATGGCTCCTTGAGTGGGTGTCTAGCATATTCTTCGAGATGCTAGGGCTCTTATTATACCGCTAGATAGGGTGATTTTCAGCCTCGAATGGACATGGTAGTATATACTACAATTTCTTGCTAATGATGCTCGTCTCCTGTATTGTGCATGCCCGTCGCTATCATCATCTTAGTTGATGATACTGCGTTAAATTATGCCTTTAGCGGCCCTGCTACGCTCGATTATAGACGTTTACGATGACAGTATACATCTACTACATCTGGATAAAGAAAGCATGATTCAAAAAGTAGCATCCATGGGCTTGTGCGAATTCAAAGCACGACGATGCTTGTGAGGAGATACGTATCGCTATGGGAAAACAATCACCCGATGTCGACACACGCACACACGCACACACACGACGTCACCAGGTTTTTGCCTTGGCTGGCCTCGGCTTTAGCCTTTGGCTGGTTGCAACCCGAGAGGTGACGGGGGATCGACATTTACGTAGTCTGTATTGCTTGCCTACAGCCTACAAGCCTGCAGCCTACCGCCCCTCCATGTAGAGGCAACTCAGCTATTATTTTCGTCTTGTTCAACAACAAATCTTTTTTTGCCTCTCTCAACCCCCCCCCCTCCGCTTCCTAAACTTGGATCATCCCAACGCCGGCTTACCTGACTCTGCCGATAGAGCAGAGAGGCATTACCTCGACGACGGCAGATTCTCGTTGTCAGTCACCATCATCTCTCCACACATAACACCGCTCTGCTTCTAACCCCCACCCTATTCTGCCTGCTGTGGATCAGAACAGCACAATAGTGCAAGAGGGGAGGGGAGAATTGGCAAGCACGTCTCTTGGCAGTCAACGCTCTTCTTGTTCATCTCGCATTTCCGAGACAAGCTTAACCTGCAAAGCTTCACATCCGGCGACGATCTCACACGGTAGCGATACCCGGGACACGATACAGCGACGAGATGGATGAAAACGTCTCGACCTTCTGCGGCATCACGGGCGCCAGCGCAGATGTGGCCCAGGGCTTCATGTCCATGGCGGGCGACGACGTCTCGCGCGCCATCGAGCTCTTCTTCGAGAACCCAGAGCTGGCCTCGCAGATTGGCGGCGCATCACAACAGCAACAACAGCCGCAAGCCCGGCAGCCGGACCAAAATACGAGGCCCCGCGCCGGACGTCGGGATTCCAGCGGTGTCATCCACATCGACAGTGACGATGACGATGACGATTTCATGACTCATGACGGTGACGACGACGACGGTGGCCATGCTGCCGCGACGCTGGCGGCCAGCCTGGCACAGGAGGAGGAGGATGCGGCCATGGCGCAGAGGTTACAGGAGGAGCTGTACGGATCTGGGGCCGGCGCAGGAGGTGGCCCAGGGCTCGGCCGGCTGGATGAAGAGGGCGTGCGGGCGCCGATTGCGAGGACGACGGAGACGCTGGTGGCGCCGGACCCGTCATGGGGAGGAGCCGATGATGATGTGAACATGGACTTCCTGAACCAGATGCGGAGGAGGAGGATGCCGCAAGGTAAGAATGCCGATCGGAAGAGGGAGGACGAAGTGGAAGCTGATGTGATCCGTGGCAAACCAGGACGAGGCGGCGGCCCGTTCTCCCAGCGGATATGGGGAGACGGAGAGAACCAGCCATCCGACTTGCCGTCGGAGCATGGCGGCAGCAGCCACGCACGACGGCTCGCGGACCTGTTCCGGCCACCTTACGATATCATGGAGAGGGGCCTCGGGTGGGACGACGTGCGGTCGCTGGGCAAGCAGGACAAGAAGTGGATCATGGTGAACCTGCAGGACATGAACGACTTCAACTGCCAGGCACTCAACCGCGATATCTGGAAGGACGAAGGCGTGCGGTCGCTGGTCCGAGACCACTTCATCTTTCTGCAGTACGACAAGGACTACCCGGACGCCGAGGAGTACACGACCTTTTACTTCCCCAGCCAGAGCCACGAGAACCCAGACAATTACCCGCACGTGTCCATCGTCGACCCGCGGACGGGCGAGCAGGTCAAGGTGTGGAGCGGGCGTCCCTTCCCGTCGGCCTCGGACTTCCGCGCCGAGCTGGCCGAGTTCCTGGACCGGTACAGCCTCGAGGCCAACAGCAAGAATCCCGTTGCGGCGGTCGGGGTCAGGGGGCCGCGCACGGTGGACGTGGACCGCATGACGGAGGAGGAGATGCTGGAGATGGCACTCAAGAACAGCATGGCCGGGGCCGGGGCCGGGGCCGGGGCATCGGGGGCGGCCGGGGTCGGCGGCGGCGTCAGCGGCAGCGGCAGCGGCAGCGGATCGACGTCTACGACCAACCTTTACGATCCGGATGCGCTCACGAAGGCTTCCCGACCCCAAGATGACAAGGACAAGGGCAAGGGCAGAGAGACGGAGGCCGAGGATGCAGAGGACGTGGAGGCAGGAGCCACAAGCAGGGCGTTTGCCCAAATCTCCAGCACCAACCCCCACACCGAACCCGACAACGACCCGTCCACGACGACCAGGATCCAGTTCCGACACCCCACGGGCCGCGTGATTCGGCGGTTCAACCTGTCTGACCCGGTAAGGCGGGCGTACGAGTGGCTCAAGGCGTCGCCGCTGGAGGGCAAGGATGGGGTGGAGTTTGAGCTCAAGAAGATGCCGCAGGGGCAGGATCTGATCGACGGACTGGACGCGACGATCGAGGAGAGCGGGCTGAAGCAGGGTACCGTCATGATTGAGTTCCTGGAGTGAAGTTTTCTTCTTCTTCTTCTTCCCCTTGCGGGGGAGGGATCCCTCTCTGTCCCTTCCTGGCTTCAATGTTACTGCTGGTAGGCGAGCGAGCTAGAGACTTCTGCCAGAGACCATGATTTGGAACGCGGGAGGCAGTTATAAGGTATTCATCGACATCGACGGCCGATTTGGCTGTCACATCTACCACGAGGAATAAGGCTAGAGTAACGGGAGGAGGGACGGAAGGGATACCATTGATCAATATGAGGATTATGAATAGATGGTGAGATTTCTGGCATGGAGTAGTGATGCGTTGATGTGCAGGTTGCAGTAGCAATGTAGTAATAGTATTCCATGTCGTGTAGTATGTTTCACCGCGCCGTAAAGCATACTATTTACTTATTACTACTACTGTGCTCATCTTGGTGGTTATCCGTATCACCTATCTATCACCTGGTAAAGATAGAAGCAGAGCTTGCAGTTTGTCTCAGGTTGGTTAATATGTGGAAGGGTCAGCCCAGCTACAGCGCCTCTCTCCCCGCAGTCCACTGGGGAGCACGGTACAGACAGGCTGGGACCATCGAGTCCATCCCGTCCATGACCCCTCCAGATCCAGGGCATGCAGCGCTGAGTAGTGTGCTGTGGTGTGCTGTGGTGTGCTGTGGTGTCCTACGAGCACGTTGTAGCGCTATAGCCGCGCTACAGGTGGCTGCTGAATTTAGGCATCATGCAGGATTTACTGGATCCCTCAGCGCAAACGGTTGGATGTTACAGGCTGATATATAATAGCTCGTCGTGTTTTCTTCTATCTGTTCCCTGTTCCCTGCTCCCATGCTCCCCTGTGCTTCCCCTCCCCCTCCCCCTCCCCCTCTTCTCTGCCGCTCTCTCTCCGAGATAAAGGATCCTGTTGTTATTGTTGTTGTTGTCGTTGTTGTTGTCTTTCTGCAATTGTACGAGTAAACAATAACGCGGTTTCTTTCTCTAACCCTCTCTCTACCTCTCTCTTTTTCTTGGGGGGTTTTTTTTTTGTTTGGTTTGGTTTCACCTTCTTCTCCCCACCCCGCAATCGTATATGTGTGATTCATGACCCTCAATTGTCTGTATATTACAGCCTCCCTTGCTTTCTCTCTCTCTCTCTCTCTCTTTACATACCCAGGTACAAATAAGTACATGTTTGAGATCTCTAGTACCACCACCACCACCACCTCCTCCACGAACCGAAGACCTGCCATTTGCGACTAGTTCTGCATAAACTCTCACCCTCCATTCCCTCCTCCTACTCGTACCTGACCACAAAGCGCGTGTGGGGCTCACACCGCCGACCAAAAGCTGGTGAGACCTCCCACCCTTCCCCCGAGGGCAAACCGGTCCACGAAACACTACTCTCCCCTCTCGACCTGAACAAACACACAGAACTCGTGGCGACGGGAACGACGTCGTTCAACAGAGAATCATCATCGACAGCGAGGAATCAGAATTAGGACAGCGAAAGATAGCTAAGAGACGGATCGGAACGAGAACGGGATATATAACCGCCCCAAACATCATGGCGGATCCGGGTGACCAGGCCCTGGATCCCCAGCAGCTGTACTCTAAGGAATACTGCATCGGTACGTTGGCTCTCCTGTTCCATCCGACATCGTACACGCGCCTGATACTGACCATCTTCCAGGAGGTGGAAGCTTTGGAAAAGTCTACAAAGGGTGAGCCCATCCATCCCACTACCCCGCCATACCAGAGAGGAGGGACGAGGGAACCGAGGGCCAGAAGGGCCGAGGATCAAGAAGAGGACTGACGATTGGAGTCTTGGGGAAACAGCGTCGACAAACGTACCGGTCAGGCCGTCGCCATCAAGATCATCGACATCGAGAGCGCAGAGGACGAGGTCGAGGATATCATCCAGGAAATCTCCATTCTGTCCGAGCTCCAATCACCATACGTCACCAGGTACCATGGGTCGTACGCACGAGGGGCCGAGCTCTGGATCGTCATGGAGTTCTGCTCCGGTGGGAGCTGCGCCGACCTCCTGAAGCCCGGGCTGATTGGGGAGGAGTACATTGCCATCATCGTGCGGGAGCTGCTGCTCGGTCTCGACTATCTTCACTCGGACAAGAAGCTACATCGCGATATCAAGGGTACCGTCACAGACCCCCCTCAAACTTGCCTTGTGTGACTGTGCCGTGCTGACCACGTACGTCCCGAACAGCCGCAAACGTCCTCCTCACGTCGAATGGCCAGGTCAAACTCGCCGATTTCGGCGTCTCGGGCCAGCTGTCGGCTACCATGACCAAGAAGAACACCTTTGTCGGGACGCCCTTCTGGATGGCCCCCGAGGTCATCAAGCAGTCCGGCTACGATCACAAGGCCGACATCTGGTCTCTGGGAATAACGGCCCTCGAGCTGGCCAAGGGCGAGCCGCCGTACTCGGACATCCACCCCATGAAGGTGCTCTTCCTCATCCCCAAGAACCCGCCCCCCAGGCTCGACGGCAACTTCACCCGTGCCTTCAAGGACTTTGTCGAGCTGTGCCTGCAGCGCGACCCCAAGGAGCGCCCCACCGCAAAGGACCTGCTCCGCCACCCCTTCATCCGCAAGGCCAAGAAGACGACGTACCTGACCGAGCTCATCGAGCGACACGTCCGCTGGGCCGCCACCCACAAGGACGACGACGATGCCGATCATCAAGACAGCAACCGCCGCCATTCCACACACCATGCCGAGCCCCAGCGCATCAACGAGGACATGTGGGACTTTGGCACCGTCAAGCTCGTGGGCGACAAGGGCGGCATCGTCAACCGTCCCGTCGGCCTCAACCCCATGGACGACAATGCTACAAACGCCAGGGCGAACCGTCCACCCCCTCTGATGGCAGCCTCCACAGAATGGAACCTGGACGACGACGACGATTACAGCGGTACGGCGCGCGCCCCCAGCCCCACCAAGGCGAGGGACTTTGCGCCCCTGCAGCCGAACGACACCCTCAAGGCCGCCTCGGGCACATCACGACCTACGAGCCCCCAGCGCAAGCCCGTGGGCCAGCAGCCCGCGGTCGCTGCCGTCGCCACCGGGGCCAGCGCTGGCGTCTTCACCGGATCGCCGTCCAAGGTGCCGCTACCGTCGAGTCCGTCCCATCGCGTCCAGACGCATGCGCAGTCGCGGAACTACATGGTCAACCCAGACACACCCAGACAGTCGAGGAACCCGTTGCCGGCACCTCCCCGCCAATCGCCCGACTACGACCGGGAGCTCCAGGCTCAGTTGCAGCGTGATATGGGAGGCTTGAACCTCAACCTCGACCTCGACCTCGGCCTGGCCCGGCAGCAGCAGGACAGGTCGTCGACATCGTCACAGGATCCCGACGATTTCTGGGCGTCTGACGACAAGGCATCGCTACCGATACCGCCAGCGCAGCGTCAAGAACCGCTGACGACGACACGGCCTGCCGCCAACTCGAGAGTACCGTCCATGACGATCCCTGAGATCCCCCCCTTCCGAGGAGGCGCAGTCCATCAGCAGCAGCAGCAGCAGCAGCAGCGCTTACCTTCGCAGCCGGGCGTACCCATCGCGACACAGCGTATGCCCGCCCCGCCAGGAATATCAGGGCAGAAGCCGCTCCCCACGGCCGAGCTGTCCTCATCCCCCGCCGCCGCATCGGCGTCGGCAGCACCGACATCATTCCCCACGCCGGCACCGGCCAACCCGAACGGCGAGCTAGACGCCCTCAACGACGTCATATTCCCGGCGCTGGAGGAAGCGCTCAAAAGACGACAGATTCGCGTGCAGCAGGTCTACGGTGGTGTCAACGGCAGGTCGACGTCGCAGATGACGGCGGATCAGCAAAAGGCCGAGGCGGCGCACGAGAAGCTGCGGAAGCTGGTGTTCAAACTGGCCCACGTGGCCAAGGAGATTGACCACTACGACAAGGCGGAGCCGGTTGGCATGGGTCGGGATGTAGGTGGCTTCCTGGAGGGGTTGTTGGAGGAGATTCTCATCAGGGTAGAGCCGCTGGATGATGAGGAGGTCTGATGTCTTGTGTATCTCTCTCTCTCTCTCTCTCTCTCTCTCTCTCTCTCTCTCTGTCTGTCTGTCTGTCTGTCTGTCTGTCTGTCTGCCTGCCTGCCTGCCTGTCTGTCTCTTTCTTGTCTATAAAGATGAAATGATATGACGAAAAAAAGAGAGGATCGGATCGGAGTTTCTTCTTTTCTTTTCTTTTTCTGTCATCCTTTGTGTATATGTGGTTATGATTTTTTTTTTTTGCCGAATGGATGGATGGATGGCTGAATGGAAGTTTACATGTATAAAGGAGGACGTCTCGAGTGATTTGAGCTGCAATGCCTTTGATGAATTATAATATACACCCCCGCCCGGGACAAAGGCCTAGGCTTTTCTGACTTGTGTGTGTATGTTGTAAACGACACCGGTGTCCGTGCCACACATGTATACTTGGTAATAGTAGCACACTGATACTGTTTGATTGGAATTGCGGATGAAAGAAGGTATGGATGAATTATGAAATGTCTCAATCGCTGATTGAAGTATGGTATGTACTGGCATGCCGATGCCATAAAGATGTGTTGTTGATATAAAAAAGCGATGAACCCCCCCCCCCCCCAAAAAAAAAAAAAAAAAAAAAACAAAAGAAGAAGAAGAAGAAGAATAGAAATCATCAAAGTATATAGAGAAAAAACCAGGACGAAAAGGAAGATGGCAACACAGAAATGAATATAAAGACACCATGACTGTAAAAGACAAGAGCATTTTACATTTTACCAACTCCCCCTGAGAGGAATATACTTCCCATACTTGGCGACGCTCCCTCCGGCAGCCCTCCACCTTTGATAAAAGTACAGAGCAGAATACGACAGGACACAGATGAGTCCGAGGCCGACGGCAGCACCCCCAAGGCTGAGGGCATGCCTCGTTCTCGTCCCCTGTTGCGTCTGACTCTGCTGGTGAGGACCGGAATCGGAATCGGTCTCTTCCTGTTGCTGCTCCACGTCAAACGGCGACGTCGTACCGAGGATGCGGCCGTCCCTGTCGAGGGCCGCGACGACGACGTACCGATCTAGATTGTCCGTCGATACGACTACCGAGGTCTCGAAGCCGTCGCGGGGTATCGAGGCTACGGGGTCGAACTTGGTGACTTGGTCTATGGGGGAGGAGGTGGTGTACTGTTTCACCTTCGGTTAGTTCAACTAAAAAGGCGAGGAAGAATGAAGAGAATGAAAAGAAAAGAGTGAGTAGGAAGAAAAAAAAGAAACCCATACCACATTCCATGATGAGACGTCCGTAGCACCATTCCACGACATGTAGACTACCGCCTCATCGCCGTCCGCCTCGACGGCCATGCTGGGCGGCCACGATGGCTTTCCGCTCCACGGAGCCTTGAAGACTCGATAAGCAAACATGTCGGCTTGTCTGCCCACGCCCACCTTGCCCTTCTGCAGGTCCATGGCCACCCGTCCGTCGGGCGTGTACTCGACGAATGAGGGGGTCCAACCCCAAGCGACGATGGCGTTTCCTTCTCTTCGGTCCTCGCTCGGCTCGCCTTGACCTGACCCCTCGAATCTTGACTCGTCGCTTCGCTCGCCTCGGGGCTGGCTCTCGATGATCTGCATACCGCCCATGGCCAGGGAGTCGAGGTGACCGGGGTGATAGTACTCCCTGACGAGGCGGGCAGTCATGTTGTCCGTGTCGATCTCGACGAGCATGCCGCGGGCGTGGCAGTCGTCGCCGCAGTCGCCCTGGTTCTCAGCGTGGTTGTCGAAGAGGGTGATGTGGGACTCGTCGCGGTAGAAGCGCGGGTTGTGCTGCCAGGCGAAGTCTGTGGCGCGGCCGCCGCTGAGGTCTCTGAAGTCGTTACCGTTCCCGCCCAGCGTCCAGATGGGGTCGCCCGAGGTGCCGTTGACGAGCTGGATGTGCCAGTAGTGCCTCGAGGAGACGAGGTAGTGGCCCCCCGACGTCTTGCGCGCGCCGTTCAGGTGCGAGAGGTCGTATGCGCCCCTGCGGTCGGCGTCGAGGCCAAAGTCGCCGGCCTCGTAGCGGGCGTGCGAGTCCCCGGGGGCCCAGTGGTCGGCGGCGAACCACTCGAACACAACCTCGCCCGTGTCCATGTCCAACTCCTGGAAGCCCGTGTCGTGCACGAGGCACTCGTCCGGGCCCGGCCCGCCCCACAGAGTGCAGTCGAAGGGGATGGTGCGGTGGGTGGTGAAGACGGCAGTCCCCTGGTCCGTCACGTCCAGGTCATGCATGTCGTTGGAGTGCGGCGCCGCGGCGTGCAGCCGGTACCGGACGTTGTAGCCCGAGTCGACCACGACGCACACGTCGCCACCGCCGCTGGCCCAGAAGGTCAGGTGCGTCTCCCCGCCGATCGTCCGCGGCTCGCAGTGGTACGAGTTGTCCCACGTCTGGTCCGCGTACACCAACGACAGGTCCGCCGCGTCGAAGATCATCGGCCCCGCCCCCGCCCCCGCCCGGTGCATGTTGTTGCCGATGAACAGGTACAGCGAGTCGTCCGTCAGGCTGCGGTCCCACGAGTTGACGTGCAGGATCGGCGCCACCACAGCCGACGACTTGAACGTCTGGCGGGGGAAGCCGTCGCTCTCGTCTACGAGACGGTTGAAGTCGTCGACGCTGCTGGCGGACAGTATGTCTGCCGCACTGACTGCCCCAGCAGCAGCAGACACGCCCATTAACACCGTCACTGGTGAAACCATGGCTCTCTTCTTCTTCCTTCTTCTTCTTCTTCCCGAAGAATTCTTCACCCTCGAAAATCCCTTCCCCCCCTCCGGCCTATTCGTATGCCAAGACTCAAGATATGTTTTAAGCTCGTGTGGGTCGTGCGAAAATGAACAATAAGGGGATCAATCGGCTTGTCGGGGAGACGGTCCACAAAAGGAACAAGAAAAAGGTGTCAGGTCAAAGAGCCGCTGTTTTTCCTTCTTCTTTTTCGAGAGCCATGCATGTATCGAAGTAGATGACGAGTAACAGAAAAGGGGGAGAAGAGCACGACTACAAAAAAAGAGAAGAAGAGGAAGAAGAGGAGAAATAAGATGAAGAAAAAGGAGAAGAGTAGATTCAGGGAGGGGGGGGGGGGTCGGGCAGTAGTAGGCCACGCGGCCACAAGGAGGGTGGTCCCCATAGCTTACGACTCTCAGCTATAACACCTCTCTCCAGTGACAGTCTACCGCATTACCTCGACCGTTTTGTGTGAGATTATCAAAGGGGGCGGGAGACGGCGGCGGGGGGATACCACACGACGTAAAAGGAAACATGACGGGCTTAACCGCGGAGGGCATGGTTGTTGGCTGGAACGGGAGGGGGGAGGAGGAGGAAACTACCATACGTCGGAAAGTCGGCGACCACTCCGCCGATATGCCCGGTAAGTAATAAACAACGACAACACAGTCTTTTAGAGTACATGTACTCGTAGAAAGGTACGTACTCTTGATGCTCTCTTCCTTCCATCTATTCAATTAGACTAACCAGACGAGCAGTACTAGCCGATGTGCCGCGTGGCCCTGGTGCTGGTTCTGGTGCTAGTATCTTTAGATGGAGGGATAATATTGGCCGAGTACGGGACATCGGCATTTTCCTTGCCGACTTCCGACGATCCGCTCGACTCTATCATCGATCCCCTCCCTCATCATCGCGCCGCTGTATACCACGTGACTCTCGTCACCTGCCATCGTCGTTGCTGCGGGTAACATTAGTAATTACTTGTAATACTCCGTTCTCTATCCGCACCGACTACGACTCTACGAGCATCACCACAATCTGTGCCTATAAGCTGTCCCACAGCAGAGTACAGGTGATACCAGCAGCAGTATCTATTATTACCTCGTGATATGACTGCTTCCCATCACAACTACATATTGACACAACACCCATACATGATCGATGTGTAGTACGCACAACACACGGATATTACGCATGTCGTTTCCCCCGTACTCCCGCTACGTACATGTACCGTAGTAACAAGTAATATATTGCTACTACCAGCAAGCTTACCAGCAGCGTATTCCCTCATGCCTTCATCCATCCAGGGACCAGATACCAGTCCCACTACGTCTCTCAACGTCGTATCATCAGTGATGCCACAGCATAGGTAACCCTGATGTTAGCTCCAGAGACGTTCCTGACTAATGCTCGGTACGCATCGATCGGTGTCAACTTTCCAACTGCAGCATCGAAGAATCAGGACGCAGCGATACGGCCATCATCGTTCTTGTCCGGACTGAATAACAAGAATCTTTATTGCCAGTCCCTGTCGTCTTCACCTTAGTTTGCTTACTCGTGGTGGACTCATGGTAGAAGATGATCTTCTCATTTGTCGCTCTCGTCTCCAATTTCTAGCTCTCGACACCATTTTGTATAAACCAAATCAAGGAGGAAATCACACGAGAACAAAGTGACAAACTCCAAACATGACCAACGAGAAAAGAAAAAGAGAAGAGAAGATCCCGAAGCGAAGGAAGGGGAAAAGAAAGACTGGAGACAATGGAGACATCTAATTATATAATCTATGCAATCAAATCATTCTAGATCGAGGGCCCTCTCATTCAACATATACAAGACCCCAAGACCTCCCTCTACCGAGGTGCCTCCATGGGCGCAGGCTTGGTACCGAGACCGTTGCGGTTGCGGTAGAACAGGACGCCCTTTCCGGCACCCTTGGCGTCCGCGCTGGGCTCGACCCACTGGCACATGCGGGCACACCTGTACAGCGCGCGCAGGAAGCCGAGGGGTCCTCCCTCCGTGTCGGCGCGGTAGTGCTTGCCCATGACGGGCTTGATGGCTTCGCTGGCCTCGTCGGCGTGGTAGAAGGGGATGGAGCTGATGTAGTGGTGCAGAACGTGCGTCTCGACAATGCCGTGCAGCAGGTGGCGGCCGACAAAGCCCATCTCGCGGTCGATCGTGGCGGCGGCGCCCCGCACAAAGTTCCACTCGCCGGGCTGGTAGTGCGGGAGGCTGGGATCCGTGTGCTGGAGAAAGGTGATGGCAACTGTCGCTTCGTTAGCTCTTGTTTCCGTCTTGCCCTTCTTCTGATCCGTCTGATCTGCCCTGTCTGGATCCTCTCCCGTCCCTTTCCGTTCCATTCTTCACGACTCCGCATGCAAATACAGTTTGAGGGGGAGGAACGCAAAACATACCAAGCCAATGGTTCACCCAGAGCCAGGGAATCCAGAACCAGACGAGCGTGTTGGACCAGCCAAACGTCTTTCCGAGGTAGATCTGAACGGCAGCGTTCAGGGCGATTCCAACATCACTGAGGACGATGGCCTGAGCCTGAGCCTCGGTGAACAGGGGGCTGGAGGGGTAAAAGTGGTTGACGCCGCCACCCAAGCCGTTCTTCTTGCCCTTGCCGCGACCCTCGCGCTGACGCTCGTGGAAGTTGTGGCCGGTAATGTTGGTGAGGAGGTAGTTGGGCCATCCGACGAGCTGCTGCAGGAGGAGCATAGTGAGAGTGAATACGGGCGTCTCCTCGGTGAGCTCGCCGAGCTCGTGGACGAGCTTGCCGACGCGGGAGGCGTACTGCTCGCGGGTGCGGGGCAGGAAGACCATCTCGCGCTCCATGTGTCCGGTGGCCTTGTGGTGGGCACTGTGGGAGTACTTCCAGCTGAAGTAGGGGACGAAGAGGGCCGAGTGAAGCAGCCAGCCGGTGAAGTCGTTGATGCGGTTCGAGTCCGAGAAGGCGCCGTGGCCGCACTCGTGGGCAATGACCCAGAGACCGGTGCCGAACAGGCCCTGGAGAACAGTATACAGACCCCACAGGACGGCGCGAACGGGCAGGCTGGGGATGTACTCGGGGGTCACGTAGTTGTGGCACAGGTAGAAGGTGGTGGCGAGGCAGGCCATGTCGCGCAGGATGTAGCCCCATCCCAGCAGGGCGGAGCGCTCGAAGCAGTGGGCGGGAATGGCATCTCGGATATCCTTGATGGTGTAGTCGGGGGGCGTGAACTGGTTGCCGTAGGTGTCGATGAGGTTGTCGTACTCGGAGTTGCCCTCCCTAGACTCGCTCTTGACCTGCTTGTCGGCGGCGTCGTCGACGGACGACATGGACGACAGAGAGGTCGACGAGGCTGAGGCACGGGGTGAGTCCGAGGGCGAGACGCCAGCAGACGACTCAGAGTCGGTCGTGGCCGTGATGGTACGCTTCAGGGTAGCCTGACGCGTAGTACGCCTGGTCGAGGCCCCAGATGTCGTGGCCGATGCCATCTTGCGTGTGTGGGACTTGTTGTCTTTCCTCTAGAAGTAGAGACTGGAGGGAGGGATGGCTGGCCTCGAGTGAAGCGTATACAGGAGAGTATGGGATATGGGGATGAAGAAGAGACAGGGGGGCCGGAAAGGACGAGGAGGGGACGGTTGATGGAGGGAAGGGAAAGGCTTTTAAAGGTCTGCTCCGAGGGTGTGAGAGAGAGGAGGGAGGGTGTGTGGATAAGAACAAGGGGGAGAGGGGGAGGGGGGGCGGGAGGGGGAGAGAGAGCCAGAGAGGGTGCCACTCGGCTAACAGTAATATGACGGGATAGAGAGATTGGAATAGTAATGAAAATGCTAGGAGAGGAGGAGCTCTGGGCTAGGAGTGGATGATGAAGATTCTCCAGCCAGCCCAACCTCCGACGAGAGGGAAGAAGGGAAATCTGAGGGGAAGAAAAGATGCGATGACACAGGGTTTCAAGGTCTTGGCATAGATTGGAGGCAAAGCAATACAGGCCGAGGGGATAGATTTTATAAGGAGGAGAAGAAAAGAAGAAACAAATTAAAATTTTAAGGTATGCAAAGTACGAATAGACTCTTTCCAGTCCACTGTGGTGGGCGATTTGTACGAGCATGTGTGTGGTGTATTAGTCGTGTATGCGCGCTGTAATAGTACGAGCATGTCCAGAGGAATATCAGAATTGGGTGAGGCTCTGAACCAGTGCCAGGCACCAGATACTGCATATGGACAGGAGAGGGTAGAATGGCAAGGGTCAAGCAGAGAAGTGCCAGTGCCAAGAAAAGTGCCAAGTATCTACTTACACTCCACGTCGACTAGCATTTTGTTGGGGAAAAAAAGGGTGTGAGACGGCGATCGCGGGGGGGAGAGGGTGGTAGGGGTAACAGTGGATGGACCTACTGTAGGTGTGGACTCCAATGGGATTGTAGCCTGTAGGGTGGGTGTAGGGGACTCCATGGAGATTCCATAGGGAATTCTATAGGGGACTTGTGAGAATATACCTGTGGGTACCCTTCGAGGAAGGCGATGTCCACTTCTTTGGGGGAGAATCCGGTAATAGTAACGAATGATACAGGCCGAAGCGTGCGACGTAGCGGACGTTTACAGTGCTTTACAGTGCTTGGGTGCCCCCAGAGCGAGTGCTACATGTACCTGTCGATACCGATATTGTGGACAGTACAGCAACCTCGGGACTGACAGTATTAGGAGGCTAGTAGCGGTGGTGGCACCTTACTTCCTAGTTGCTCTCGACATGGAAAAACTCTGTCATACGCTCCAGGTCATTACTCGTATCATGCCATCCATACATGGAATATTACCAGACAAGCAAATGAATTGGATTGGATTGGATTGGATGGAGGACCTTGGTCTTGATATTATTAGTATGAAGTGATAGAGAATAAGATGAACATGGACAGGTACATGTATATGGACTGTACAAGTATCATGAGCACACGTACCACCAAGTACGTGTACAATAATACACGTCCACTCGAAATACTCACTCAGCCTGCACATTGCCACTGGAATCACCCCCCCTTCGGTGGCTCCTGCTCAGGGGATCCAGGGGCTTTAATGCTCCGGTGGCCTGAGGTTGCCTATTCTGGCTCTGTTGGCTTGAGATCCCCCTGTCCACCCGCGTTTCGAGGATGTCCTGGTTCTGGATGGAAGGAATCAGGTGCGGAACAGTATGTGAATATCTTAAACATCACCTCGTACGACAACCGAAGAAGAAGACATGATGCTCGACCTATGCATCCTGACCACCAACAGTCTATCATCCTCTTACGTTGATCGACCGCGTGCTCAACATGTTGAACCCCTCATACGAGAGAAGCCATCCCCTCTTCCCCCCTCCTCTCCACCATCGTCGCCATCAGCAACCACACACACACACACACTCACACCCTCCCCCCTCCTCCAATTCTGAGCGGTCAAGCAAACGAACGGTCAACGCACAAGAGACATCATACGCAGACAACTCCATGCAGATCACTGCAGCTTCTTGAACCGAGGTCAGCATTTGCAGCTGACAGCGTGTTCCTTGTACGCTCAACTCTTCAGTATGAGGGGTATCAGCATTCTTCCTACCCACATCATGTACGAGTATGAGGGTACTACAGCAATACTACAGACACTCCGAGTCGTATCAATCAGGGTCCAGATTGCGGTACGTACAGTTTGCCACACAGCAAGAAACACTGCTCGTATCCCCGAACCGACCCTTGTATCCAGACTGTGAACTCCTGGATCTCTCCTGTTCTGTGGGAGGCTGAGACGACATGCTACGGATGGTACTCACCTTCACATGACACCGAGCCTCGTCCGATGCTCAAACCTGATCACTCTTTGTGCCTCTTTGTACATGAATATCCTACATGTTCCGCTGGTTGACAGCCGTAGTCTGTATGACGCTCCTTTCCCTGTTCTGCAGAGACGTAAAAGAGACACATAATACTTTCCCAAAGACGGTACCTACATGCTGGGTCAATTCTCACCGCCGGAATCTCTTACAAGTATCAATCATGCAATATCGAAGGCAGTCGGTAAGAAAGAAGAACAGAACCAAAAAAAAAAAAAAAGGAGAGAGACAAAGAATTACATATAATGCACGGAGAAGACTATTACTACATAGTAGTATACGAGTATCTCAAAAAAGGGAAGAAAAAAACCTCCATATCACGCCACGTCGGCGACCGAGCGGGCGGGTGGAAAGAAAAAGTCTCGCTTCTCTCGTCCCGTCCCACGTTGGGAACGAGCAGGCAAGGAAGAAACAGCAATTTGTGGCTTCGTAGGCCGTTAGCAGCTGCGGCCACTCCGTAAGGAAGCTTTTGTTCTGTTGGGGAAATTTGTTGAGCACCATACAGAGTTGTGTCCGGGGTGTGTCTGGCGCTCCGGGTACGGGTCTTTTTTTTTAACCCTTTGGCCCCACGGGCCACGGCCCACGGGCGAGCCGTCACAGGCTCACGGGTACGAATCCGAGGACCGTATATTGATACTGAGCAGATGCGGAGTTTCGCAGTTGGTCAGGATTGGATCGATATACGGAGTATTGATACCTATAGTGGTACTCTCGACTCTGCACTCTGTCGCTCTGTGCTATGTGCTCTCTGTGAAAAACACGATATATCAATGATGCTCTCTGCTGAATTTCCGTGGGGGCAGATCTCAGTTGGAGTCATCCATCTACGGTTAGGTCAGACTGTATGAACATGTGTTAATTGGCACATGCTCTTGCACATTCGTACCTGTGCATCAACGGCAAACGAGTAATATTAATAACACAAGCTACACGTACCTGTACAGCCACAACTTACTCGTCTATATACAGGTAAGATAATACTCATACAGCATTGAATCGAGCCCATTTACTCATTTACTCATTCAACCTCAACCCGCGTGCTCGCTCATCCACTCAATCAAAGGCATATGGAGTCATCTCAGCAATCAGTCTGCCACTTCGTATGCATCATGGCATTCAGGGACGCTCGGGGGGGTTGGGGGGGAGGGGGGGAGGGGTCGTACCTATACTCGTACTCGTACATGGGATTAACCGGCTATAGCGGTCGTTAGAAGATGAAGAAAGGAACGAAGAAGTCGATGTAATCAACCGGAACCGAACCGTTGCATCAGCCAAATCAATTCCATGTATTACCACGAGTACAGTCTACGAGTATTATAGTCTAGATTGCACCACATGACGCCATCTCTCCGGCAGCCACTACAATTCTTTGCCATCCATTGTCGATGGCCTGAGGCCATATAGTCACGTGGTCAGATCAAACAACTGAGTAAGCCACCGGATGAGGTTATTCTGGTCCGATCATAGCTCCTTCCTCATCAATAAGAAGGTCAGAAAAAGGCCTGGTTTCAAGCTCTTTTTTCTTTTTTTTGCATCATTACAGATTACATCGGTGAATAGTTATCCGGATAAATCTCCTTCCGTTCTAGAACCTCAGACGAGCGTTTCACCGACATTATTCCGCCGCTCAGTCTGGCACCAATCCTTGCCTTCTCACATCTCGCATTGTGCAGTAGTTAGCTAGAGCTTGTTAGCCAGATCATCATCACCTTCATTTCTTCAGAGCCCTTGAGCCACCTTCATGCTTCAACATCCATCTGCTCCATACTGATCTTGACGAGAAGGTATGATAGAACAGTACGTACAGGCATGTAGTAACTAACCCTGAGAGGACATAGTCCACGACAGCATACGTTCCGTATATTCTGCTAGATATGTATTCCCCTACAAGTCTAGGGTAAAGAAACAGACAAGAAACACCCCTGTGGGGGGAGAAAAAAAAAGGTTAGCAGTGAAGAAGAGAATACATTATGAAGAAGAAGAAGAAGAAGAGGAAGAAGAAGAGGAAGAAGAAGAAGAAGAAGAAGAAGTAGAAGAAGTGACTAAATCACCATGGAACCATCCTCCCATCTGTATCGACAACATGCCTCAACCTCTGCGGCATGAAATCCACCCACATATTGATCCTATCCTGATCCAAGTTAGCCCAGGCATCCCTAGCCGTCTGCCTGAGCGTATCCTCGTCCCAGTCCCTCAGTGTCTCGACAGTCCACTGCTTGTGGGGTGGCCACAGCGTTTGCGTATCGAGGGGGCTGAGGTCTGGGCTATCCAGGCAGTTGAAGTAGCACCTCAGCCCGTGGGCTGCCTTCCACTGCTGAGCAATGTTGACCTTTGAGGCGCCTCCGTGCGCAAATGCCTCGACGTCCTCCTCCAACACGAAAGACGGCGGAGGCGGCGGCATCTGTGCTTGACCTCCTCCTCCTCCACCGCCGCCGCCATCACCGCCGCCATCGCCGTTGGCGCTGCCGCTGACGGGGATGGTAGGATCAAGCCAGGGTTTGACGACCCTCTCGAGAACCTTGTCGCAGTAGTCGGACATGCTCATGACGCCGGTGCTGTTGGGGCTGGTAGAATCGTCGTAAAAGATCAGCTCGCTCTTGAAGCCGTATCCCACCGCCGCCCAGCAGTGCAGCCTCCGCACATCCCTCGGGTGATCTGTCGTCATGGTAGACGCAACGGCGACGGCAGCAGCGGCAGTAGTACTAGCAGCGGTAGTAGCAGCACCTTCCTCATCCTCCGTCGGCGTCTCCATCATCACATCCTGGTCCTGATCCTGCTGCTGCTGCTGCTGCTGCTGCTGCTGCTGTCCACCACGGCAAGCCTCACAGTACTTCTCCCCGGGTCGGGGCAGCAACCTGACTCTGCCGTCCAGCCCGAAGCCAAAGTGCAGCTCGCCGCTGAAGCGGACGAGGCGCCAGGTGCCCGGGTCGGGGTAGGCCTCCAGCATGCGCTCGGCGTACTCGACCCTCCTCTCCCTCGTCTTCCTGTGCGTCCACGACCGCGCGCATCCGAGGCACCGCCGGTAACCCATCGTGCCCATGTTCCGGTGCAGTGTGCGCGCGTTGCACTCGGTGGTCAGCCCGGCCTCGCGCGCCAGACCACCCCAGTTCAGGTTGACGGCCTCGTACGCCGGGTCCCACAGGATCCGCTCCATGCGCAGCTGGTCCGCCTCCCCGATCTTGCTCGGCCGCCCCCGCGTCTCCTCCCACTCCGGGTCGTTGCGCCTCGACACCGGCACGCTCAGCGCCGCGTACCCCTGCGACCGGGACAGCTCAAAGTGTCGGAATATTGCCGACTTGTTCACTGGCAGCCCCTGCGACTCCAGGTACGATATCGTCCCCCGCACCATTGCCCGCTTAGGCGTGTCCCCGTGCTTGTACCCTGGCATGATACTACTGTTTCTGTTGTTTCTGTTGTTGCTGCTGCTGCTGCTGCTGCTGCTGCTGCTCCCCGCGCCACCGCCGCCGCCGCTGCCGGTTGACCGTCGGGATGGTCCCGATGATGGCCTCTTCTCCCCGTCTGCAGCCACTTTTGCCCTCTTTTTCTTTTTTGATATGTCTCTTCACACCTTATTTTTTCTCTTGAACGGAGGAACGTTTGGTTGTTCATGTGGGGGGGGGGGGAGGGGAGATGCCTGGAGTATGAATCTGGGGCGGTCAAAATCCCGTTGGACGGTGGTGTGCGCTTGTTTTTGTCATGCCGTAGACAGTCTGGTGGCGGCCCAAATTCCCCCGCGCATCGGTTTTGTCAATCATCACGTGATTCCTCACTTACACGTCTGTATACTGTCTTACACGCCACTTACACGCTCAAGCATCACTCCGTGTTCGTATTTTACTATCTGTATAGTTCTATTGATATCAAGATTGAGGACACATTGAGGGACCCGAATCATTGCATTCATCGCAAGGTCAATTCACCTCTACCGAATGGCATTACCCAGTGCTTTTATCCAAGAGCCAGGGCTAGCAAGTCCCTATATTCAACAAATCTCGAAACGGAAATAGATAGAAAATAAAATGTCGTGGCACAAAAAAGAAGTGGGAGAAAATAAAAATAGTACAAAGGCGCCTTCTATGATTGATTTTTATATGTCTTGTTCCCGCCCAACGCCAGGGCTAGATTTCTTTTTCCAAAAAAAAAAAAATTAGTCCCAAGTTATGTGATTTTTTGTCTTGTTTCGCCACCCCATCACTTACTAGGTAAGTGTGTGCGTGTGCGTGTGCGTGTGCGTGTGTGCGTGTGTGCGTGTATGTCTTTTGCTTGTCTCTTTTTGGTTTGTTTTGCTATTTTGCCTTCTCTTGCCAGTTTCTTTGGTCATCTCTTGCCAGCCTCCCTGACCGTGGCGATAAACTTGTCCTCGGCTATGGCCTTGGCATCACTACCGGCAGTGTCGGTCGTAGTCTTGGGCCTAGATAGCAGCACGGACTTGACGCCGGCCTCAGTCGTACTCCCGAGCAGAGCCATCTCATTAGACAGCAGGATGGCCACGGCGGCCCTGACGAGCACGGCATCGCCCTCGAAGACGTACACGTCCCAGAGGCGCGCAGCCTCGTCGACGGCCAGGTGGCCCGTGAACAGGGACGTGTACATGTCGGCCAGGTACCAGGCCGGCTCGAGTCCGGGGATGCCTCGCGTGAGGTGGGTGTGGAGGGTGGCCGACTTCTGCGAGAGCATCTGCAGGACCAGGTTGTACGCCGAGCTCTGAGCGCCCGCGTCGCCCGTGTAGAATGACAAGGGGAGAGGGCGGTTCAGAACGTTGGCTAGGGCGATGAAGGTTGTGGCTGGGCTGGGTAGGTTGAGTAAGAGGAGGGCGGCAATGGTCTTTTTTTTTTTGGCCAAGGCAGGGGTTCATCACCAGCGTTAGTTTCTCGGGTTCGGCAGGTAACAGAGATGGAACAGCAGAGAGAGCACGGGAAGAAACTCACGTTACATCCGGATACATAACCAATGTCGCTCCTATACATGGCATAGGCCATGAGGACGTCGACGAGGAGGCGATACAGCGGGCCCTGCTCGTGAAAGATGTGCAGGTCAGTATATGTGGCGTTGGCGGCGTCGTGGCGGATCTGGTCGAAGCACTGTGCCCTGCGGATGTCGTCTGCGTCGCCCCTATCCTCGTCGACGCGGGACTCGAGCTCCCTCGCGCGGCCGAGGGCGGTGTCGAACGAGCGCTCCGACAGGCCGAGGTCGTTGCCGATGGCCTGCAGCCAGACGGTGCCCCTGCAGCGCGGGGGCACGCCGCGCCACCACAGCTCGCGCGTCTTCTTCTCGCGGATGGCGTCGTTCCAGCGCGGGATGACGTCCTCGTCCCAGGCGCGCACGGCGCCGGTGAGCGTGTTGTCCCTCTGCTCGGTGCGCGACCGGCGGGCGGCCTCGCGGCGTTCGTCGGCCTTGGCGCTCGCCGCCATCATCTTCTGGTACTCGCGGACGTGGCGGCGCTCCTCGGCCGGGTTCTTGGGCGGGAGCCACGACGGCCGCGTGCGGCTGAGAACCGCCTCCTTCTCCTTGGACACGGGGAGGGGGTCTATCATCATGGCGGCTCCGCCCCTCTGCAGCGGGGGCAGTTCGGGCGTCGACCTGATCCTCTCCTTCTTTCCGGCCGAGTACGTTGACGAGGACGAGGACGCCGAGTTCCACGTGTTGGGCCGCGCGGCCGCGCGGCTGAGGGCCCGCGACTCCTCCTCATCGGCGTGCTCCTCTAGCTTCTCCGTCAGGGCCTTGGCCTCGGCGCTGAGGTGGGCGAGGGCGGCGTTCCACGAGTGCGCGCGCGACTTGGCGGCATGCGGCCTGTCGGCAGCCGCGTCCGTCTTCCACGTTGGCGACCTGAGCGATCCCTGGGCCTGGGCCACGGGCGGCGTGCCGTTTCCCACGCTGCGCACCCTCTCCTTGGGCTGGTGCGGCTGCCTGTCCGACGACGACGGCGACGGCTGACGGCTCGGCGGCCTCTCGTGCTGCGGCCGCGGTGACATGGGCACATTGTCGAGGATGAGCCCGTCGGGGATGTCGTCGCCGTCGTCCTCGTCGCACTCGTGCTCCAGCTCGGCGAACGACTTGCGGTGCGCCGACTGCCAGCTGCCCCTCCGCGGCCTGCTGGGCTGCAGGCTCAAGTCCCGCCGGGGCGGGTGGGCCATACTCGGGCTCAGACCCCCGCCCGGGCTGGGGCTCCTCTGCCGCGATGACGAGGACAGCGACGAGCTGGACCGGTTGAGCGCGGGCCGCGACGTGTCCGTCAGCACCGTCAGGCTCGTGCTCCGCACGCTCGACGCCGGCACGGCCGACCGGAGGTTGGGGAACGACGACCGAGGCTTGGGCGCGCGCTTGCTCGACACCAGCATCCGCCCGCCTCCGCTACTGGCCGTCGATGGCGGTGTGGGTGACGGCTGGCGACGGGAGGCTGCAGCACTGCTGCTGCTGATGCCGTTAGCCGTCCTCCTGGGCGTGGCGGTGTCGTCATCGTCCTCTAGGCCGATCTCTTCAAAGTTGCTCACGTTATCGAGCGTCGATGCGTCGTCACTGGTAGCCGAACGGAACGATGATGCTGCTGACTTGGAGCTCCTGGTCGACATGGCCATGGCGGGCGATAAGGGTGTCGGGGGGGCCTCGTCGTCGACGCGGGCCATGGTGTTCGGGACCTCCCTTGTGTGTATATATATATATATATACGTGTGTGTGTGTGTGTGTGTGTGTGTAGCGGAGTCTCCGGGAGGGTGGGCGGTAACCTCGGGGGCTACGGCCCGTCGAGATCTTTTATTATTCTCGTGTGTGTATACTGATTCGACTCGATCGCCTCGTTTGACGCGTTGTGTACTGGTATTCAAGGAGGGGAGAGATAGATGGCGATATGGGCGTCAGGACCTGTGGGGTGGTCTTCTTTCTTTTCCCTTTCAGTGGGGCAGATTTCAAGGAGCAGCTTTGTCTAGCAAGATGAAAGAGGGCGGGGGGGGAGGACTATTATAATAGAGATGGGAAAAGGCTTTTTTTTTTTAAGAAAAAAAAAAGAAGAAGAAGAAAAGAACGATTGAAAAGGGTTGGATGAACCGAAGAGGGAAAAGGAAGGCGATCAGTGAGGCCGTCGACAGGAAACAAAAAGCGAGTGTTTATTGTGCCTGGATTGACATGATGACGATGACGATATCACAGCTGCTCTTTTCTTCTTCTTTGCGTTCGTCTGCCCTCTTCGTCTGTCTCTCCGTCTCTCGCTTTCGTTCTCTCTGCTACTGCTCGTATTATGGGCCAAAGGGGAAAAGGAGGCGATGCATTGGCATTGGCATTGGCGTTGCATTGGCGTTGGGCGGAGAAACGGTATTAACTGGTATTAGCTGTTATTGCAGCTGAATTGTTTGTTATTACCTGCACTGAATAGGAAGTACAGATTACGGAGTACATGTATCTCGTAGTAGATGATAATTGGGCAAGCTGGGGAGAGAGCGAGAGAGAGAGAGAGAGGGGGAGAGGGAGAGAGGGAAATGGATATGTATCTTTTCGCATGCATCATCACCGACTAGTGACATGATCACACTCGCACAGATTTGTACCCTTCCCCTTAACCCAAAGAGAAATTGGCTTCAACGTACGAGAGAGGATTTTGAGCAATACGAGAGACTATGGCTGCAGCTGAGACTGGCGTTGGGTCTATAGGGAGGAGTTCCAAGAAGAATACAGTTACGAGTACAGGTTGTATGTTTGATGCTCCCCCCCCCCTTCAACTCTCTTCCCCCAAATCTATTCTCTTCTCGACATTTATTATACTTCCATCATGGTCACGGTATTGACCTGATAGAAGCATCGTTGTATTACCTTGTGACATGTTTATGTACTCGTAGCGGCACCAATAGTCTGTCCTTGTCATGTATACAATACATTGAGATGATAACCTCCACCATGATCCAGCCCGTCGTAATACTAGCAAATAGATACGTTGCACCATATGGCACGTGCTCCTCGATCGTACAAGTACATACACTCACAGTCTGTAGACCTCGTCCTCCCCCCCCCCCCCCCCCCCCCCCCCCCCCTCTCCACCCTCTCTGAGCCCCTTGGATATTGCGACCCCCTGCATCTGACCTACCCCAGCATCAGCTCCCCAACCACAGCCCGCCACTCTCGTCTACCTCTCCGTCTTCTCTTATTCTTCTTTCTTGCTGCCAGCATCTTTGCAGCCTTCTTCATCGTCGTCTCCTCTTCTTCTCGTTCTGCTTCTTCGTCCTCGTCCTCGTCCTCTCTGTCGTCTCGTCCTCTCTCTCGTGTGTCTCTGCGCCTCTTGCCCAACACCCTCTTCTTCCATCCACCCCCTGCGTGGAAATTGATAATCTCCCGCACCCTGTCCGTGAGCGCCTTATCTGTCTTGACGGCCACGGCTCTTTCCGCGCTCGAACCCAACCTCAGGGTACGTTGCACAATATGTGATACTGCGTCAACCCGTCTCAACTGTCTCTTACGCATGAGACATGCTCCTTCTCCTCTGCCTCTATCATCGGCGTGCTCTTGCTCCCCGCCATCACCACTCAGTCGCCTTTTCAGAGGCGATGATGCTCGACCTGGTGCCATCTGCTCTGCAGAGACCTTGCCTTCCGCTTCCGTATTGCTGACCGACAGGCACGCGCTCCCCGCTGGTGACGATGCCGGCGTCATCAGCCCTGTGGTCGTGCCACTGTTGGCTTTCCTGTCCTTCTCATCCGGTATGACGGTAGATTCGTGCCTGTGCTCCTCCTCCGTGTCCGACTCGTCATCGCTCGTGCACACGCTCGACTCGTCTGTACACCCCTGCCCGTAGGCCACCAACGCCTCCAGCGGCGTCAAGGGTTTGACCGTCGGCTTCGGCTGCGTCGTCAGGTCCCGCCGTATCTCAAGACATTCGTCGTACAGGTCGCCCATCATCTTCCTCCACATGCTCAAGAGACATTCCGACGAGCCCGCCAGCAGTCGCGAGTACTCGCGTGCTAGCTCGGAGAAGAGCATGTCCTTCTGTACGCTCGTCCGGAGACCTCGGTATTCCAGCTCCGCCTCCACGGCCTTGGCGCCGGGGCTTGCTGCGAGGTGCACGTGCCGGATCTGTTCGGATGGCTCGGTGCCATCTTCTATGCGCTTCTTGAGTCGGTCGATTGTCGGTTTCATCGCCTTGGACATTATGTATGATGGGGGGGGGTCGTGGACTCGCTTCAAGGCCTCGGCGCGTGCCACCTCGATTGACCGAGCTGGTGCCGGGCTCTTGTGGATGGGGGACGTCGCCTTGTCGTAGAAGGGATGCTGCACAGTCTTATCAGAGCCTCTGGGACCTCGGAGCACCGGGCTCGACTCGAGACGGCCCATAATCTCAGGCTTGATTTGGGTGCTTGCATGGCTGCCGTTGCCGTCCGTCGTGGATCCGGCGTAGTGTACAGGCAGATCTGGCTGCGCATCCGATTCGGCATCGTCAGATACCTCGGACTCCTTGAAGCGCATGGTAGACGGCTTTAGAATGCCTTTCAGGCCAACGATTGTGTCCCTATGATGTGGTATGTACCGGCCCGTACGGCCCGTGGGATCGAATTCGGGAAACTTGACAGAGTGTCCGTAGGCCGAGTGTAGGATATAGGGCTGCTTTCGTGGCAACGGTGCTCCAGGTCGGAACGCATCACAGCCAACGCACGGGAACTCTTCGTTCACCCCCAGGGGGGCACCAAGTTGGGGCAGGGATTCGACGTCGTCTCCTTGCCCACTCTCAGCCGATGACCAGCCAGAGTCAGAACACTCGTGTCCAGAATCATACGTTACGTCATCTTGCTCATCTTGCTCGTCGAGAGAGGCTTGGGTAATTTTCCCGTCAGCCGACATGTCGAGATTCACATCAGCTTCCATCTTGACCAGGAGCCTGCGTCTCGGCGTGCTCTTGATTCGCAGACGTCGAACTCCGATGGTACGTGCTAGTGTCGCATCAGTCTCTTGCTGTTTCTTGACGGCCTGTGTGCCACGGTTTTCTTTCTCTTCCTCGATGTCTTTCTCGTGAGGTCTGTAGTTGGAAGATACATCTTGTGTCTCGGATGGTGTAACCTCGTCTAAAACGGTCTTTGGTCGAGTTGGAAAACATTCCTTCCCCGGGGCAAGAGCTTGAGCTCGTGGTACTGGCTGATGGTTGCTTAGATGGTAGGGGGGTTTGATGTATCGTTCCAATGTGTTCTGGGGATGGCATATCTTCTTGACGCAACACATTTTGGGGCTGATCGTGTCGAAGGATGATAACAGGCTCTGCGAGCGTTTTGCAGCCGTTGTGCTGTGCCCCAGACCCTGGAAGATGCTAGCTCTGACCAGGGCATCTGCCTGCGTCGTCGTTTCGGCCGAGTGTATCTGGGAAGATGGAGGGGGAGTCTGACATGCGTCCGTCGGTTTCGGACCAGCCAAGGGGGTTTCGACATTCTCCTCCGGTGGTTCTTGTATGGAGCCGCTCTTCTCCTCGGAAGCAGTTTCGATAATCTCCCGAGCCTCCTCACTCCGCTGACTGGGTTTTGAGGCACGCTTGCCAATATAACCAGCAAGCGGCGACGTTTGGTCCGTCACCATGTTCACTGGCGAGGTAAAAACTATGGAAATTGGCGAGATGGACAAGCGCTGATGCCTAGGCGCCCTGGAGATCATGGCTGGGTGACGAACTGGTGTCGAGGGTATACTCTTCTGCGATAGATCGCAGTCATATTCTCTCGCGGGTGACTGCAGTGATCTATTCTCGATGACACTTAGCGGGGAAGCTGTCGGTAGTGACAGTGACCGTCCCGATGACACGGAAAAGAATTCGTCATCTGATGATCCGGGGAAAGAAGCGTAGTTGGATGGTGATGGGGATGAAAGGACGGCGGTGTGCCGCCTCTGGAGGGCTTCGTTTATGCCGGCTTGGTGCGTCATTGTTGGTAGATTTGATGGTTGTTGTCAAGAATAGTGTGAAATATGGGTATATTACAGGAAGATGAATGAACGGAAGGCGTCAAGAGAAGGTTCAAGAACGAAGGAAAAAAGATGCGCAGTGAATGAATGTGAGACGGAAGTAGAGAGAGAGAGATAGGGGGAGGGATCAGCTCCAAGGCGAGGTGTGCATAGTTTGAGGTCCTGCAACGCCCTCTGGGCTTGAGAACTATTAGATATAATTCAATTCAGTTCACTTCGCCCATATATGCCATTCTTCTCTAGCTCTGGACATGTTCACCGTGATGTGGAGAGTTCACCGATGAATGACAAAAATGAACAGATGGGGATTGCAACTTAGCGCCGTTGCCAGGAGTGACGAGAAAGAAGAAAGGAAGGTCTGATTCTGATTCTGGGGAAAGCGACGAGCAGACAAGCAATGAAAGCACGAGGCCGTCTGCACTATCGTCTTTTCCCTTTTGTTGATTATCTAAATAATGACTTTGCCAATGGCTTTGTAAGATTCTAATGCCACCTCCTGAATCGCCTTTTGCCCAGTATATCAAGGAAGAGATGGAGAGGAAATTCTATCAACTAGATAGAACATGGGAACAAGAACGAGAACGGGTACAGCCTTGTCATCACGAAAACTTACCCTAAAGGATCTAACGGTAACATACTATGAGAAATTCCCGTTATTATAAATAGCTAGAAGATAGGTCGAATGACGGGATCAATAAATGTTAAAGAGTTTGTTTGATAATAAGAAAGAGTCTCGATTTCTATAAATGAGAGGTTGCGGGACTACAGCTATTTAAGTATCATAGAAGATTCTACGTTAGTCTTGTCCACTTTGATAGTGATCATGTGACTTCTATTATTCCTCCTAATCTCATACATACCCTAAGGTTAACCACAATCATCTCTTTTTGTTTGCAAGCACTGTCAAAGGTAAGTTTTCGTGATAACAAGGTTATACCCGTTCTCTTTCTTGTCCCATGTTCTATATAGCTGATAGAATTTCCTCTCCATCTCTTTGTTTCAGTATCTAGGTACGGATAGAGTTCATTTATAAATTACTATAAATATGTTATTATTTTTCAAGTACATTCTCCACTTAATCCAACCTTCAGATCTTAGACTTGGAGGCCGTACTTAACTCTATCCATGAGCTTTAGGCGGAAATTTCTTTCTTTTAGTTACTCATGTCACCATTCTTACTTGAATGCACTAGTTATAATTTTGTTTTTTAAAAAAAAAGAAAGTCATAAGTTCATTCAACGTTCCTTCCTGGACATACTGGGCAAAAGGCGATTCAATGGTTATTGGGGTCTGGGGTCTTGAGGCCTGAGCCTCAGGCTTCCTAGCAAACCTCTGAAACTCATATATATATATAGCCTCATCCCTAGGTAGATAGAAATAAGTAAGATCAATACAACAGCCACAGCCCTTCCTTTGAAGGGGCTAAAGCACCTTGTATGTCCACCAAATATCTACGCGCGCGTGAGGACGTATCGACACTTCTACATCAATAATGGAAAGGACGGATAAAACAAATATAAGAAAGGAAAATGAAAATGTACGCATCGGAATATCAAAGGCACTTAGATAGAGAATGATGACTTGAGTGATGATGGAGTAACTAATACCAAGGGCTATTATTACATGTGTCATCCGTTATAAGTCACGCTTCAACGCTCTCAGCATCTATTACCAGGACATAGCAACGAAGCCACCCAGGGTTATTTCCAAACAAGAGCACACTCACAAGCTGTATCCCCATTTCAATCTCACTGTACATGACATGCATGCCCCATCCCCCCTGCTTTCTTACTACTGATATGTACAAATATCTAGCCTAGAAACTTCCCTCGTAGCTTATTGATAGGTGGCACCATCACACAACACCACCACCTTCCCCCATGTATATGTATTCCTGAAAAGAAAAACGGTTGAGAGGAACTTTGGTTCGCTCTGTACCATGTCTTCCGTCAACCCAGTAACGACTATGGAGCCTGAGCTGGGCGAGCCACCAAGCTCACTGATCACGGTCTTCCCCCCAGTGGCCCATACACTCTCGTATGGGATGCTCGAAGAAAGTGCTGACTGGGGAGATGAGCGACGGCCTTTTAGGTCTGGTGGTAGTTGCATATACCGGCATCTCCAGCTCAGGGATCCAGGTGCCGACCCTGTCGCACAGGTGATCCTCGGAGTGGGGACATACGCAGTCCGTGGGAAACCCAAGAAGATGACGGCGACGATGACTACAATGACGACGACGACTACGACGACGACGACGACGATGATGTAGATACGGATATGGACGATGCCGGTACAGATGATGACGACATAGACGATACAGATAACACCTGACAGACGCCTACGTCTGAAGGAGGTGACGACCTGAAGGATTCATGGGGGCACACCGAGTTTGAAGCTCATCTCGATGCCCTTGTTCAGCAGTCAAGTCAACAGTGACCGGGATTCTTGCGAATGGCTGTGGAGGAGCGGTGACTCCAAGCCATCATCACGTCGTCTGCTCTGGTTTGGCACCGAGTGTGTTGACAAGGGGGGAGAATACGACCCAACAGTGGTCCTTGTATTATATAGTCTTTTGGCCCCGCCATCTACGCTACTCATGCCTGGAATTACCCCAGCCCACATCTAAGCTGTTCTTGACATTTTGGTTCCCCTTTTTTATGTATTTATTTATTTATTTATTCGTTCCTGCAACTCAACCTGCCCCCTTTACATGCGCTCTCGCTGGCGCGGTGCCGCGCGAATAATGTCGTCGACTCTGAGAAGGAGCTGTGATACAACATGTCAGCTGATTGGGGCCTCTGTAGCGTGTAGGGGAAGGGGACGACGTCAGATACGAGGGGAAAGACAGGGGACGAATCCTACCTCAGCTGCCTCACTTGCCGAGGAGACAACAGCTCTCTTGAGCTTGTAGCTTTCGATGACACCCACGTCGCGCATGTCGGTGATGCCACCGCCGGGCGTCATCAGGTCGAGGCCGTAGGTGGTGAGACCGTCGTAGATGGCCTTCCTTAGACGGGCGACGAGGTCGCCAGAATCGAGACCGGCATTGTCGGCCAGGATGGTGGGGAGCTGGCGGAGGGCGGTGGCGAAGCTGGACACGGCTAGCTGGCGCTTGCCCTCAACCCTGGTGGCGGCACCCTCGACGGCCTTGGCCATGACCATCTCGGAGCAGCCGCCGCCCAGCGTCGTCCTGGGCTCGCGGACCGTCTGGGAGAGGACGGCCAGGGCGTCGTGCAAGCTGCGCTCGGCCTCGTCCAGGAGCTGGTCTGTGGCGCCGCGGAGGACGATGGTGCAGGCCTCGCCGGCGGCGACGCCGGAAAATTTGATGAGGGTGTCCTCGCCGATAATCACCTCCTCAATTGTCTCGCACTGTCCCAGCTTGACCTGCTCCGGGTGGTCGAAAGTCGACGTGATCTCGCCGCCGGTGACGAGAGCCAGGCGCTCGATGCCGTCAAAGTCGGCGTGCTCGATGGACATGATGCCGGCGTCGGTGAAGAGCTGCTCGGGCCAGTTGTAGATGAGCTGGCGGTTGATGAAGCAGTTGATGCCGTGAGCTTTAATCTTCTCCACCTTGGCCTTCATCTTCTCCTTCTCGGCCTTCTCAAGCTCGGCCAGCTTGTTGGTGGATCCAACCTTGACGCGGGCGCCGAAGATCTTGACCTTGTCCGTGTCCATGGACGTGTTGGCGACAAGGATCTTGGCCTTTTCAAGCCTCTTGGGTTGGTTGACGCCAATCTTCTTGTCGAGGATGAAGCCCTCGTCGAGGTACGAGTCGCTGAGCTTGCCACCGGCCTTCTTGATGATCTGGATGTGGCTCAGGTCAGACGACGACTTCAGACGAAGGACGGCGTCGCAAGCAAGCTGTGCAAAGTGTTCGCGGTCCTGAGACAGGACCTTGGAGCTGAGGGTGGTGCGGGCAATGGAGAGGAGGTCATTGCGGAAGGCGTCGGGGTCCTTGCTGTGGTCCACGGCCACATCCTCTAGAGCCTCCAATGCGGCCTTGCTGGCAATCCTGTATCCCTCTATGATGGTCTGCGGGTGCACCTTCTTCTCCACGAGCTTCTCGGCCTCTCGCAGCAGCTCGGCGGCCAGCACAGCCACCGATGTGGTTCCGTCACCGACTTCATCGTCCTGGACCTTGGAAATGTTGACGAGTACCTTGGCAGCGGCGTTGTCGAGAGCGATAGACTTGAGGATCGTAGCACCGTCGTTGGTCACCATCATCTCGGAGGTAGACCTGCAAACCCCTGAGTTAGCAACCCATATATCATAACACATACCGCCTCCTGCTTCCCCCTTTGCCCCGCCACCGACAAACGACAGGGCGAGAGCTCCTTCAAACTTACGCCGACTGCAGGATCTTGTCCATTCCCTTGGGACCCAACGTGCTCTTCACCAGGTCTCCAACGGCGATGGCGCCGACAAAGGCGGCCAGACGCGCATTCTCGCCCTTTTCTTCGGTGGTACCCTCCTCGAAGATCTGGGTAGGTTGGAACGACTGAGGAGGGGTAGATGAAGTCAGTTTCGACGGCCAGCAACGTTTCCAGCAAAAGGTGATGACGGTTATTGGAAAAAGACGAATAGTGAGTGAATTCAGGAACATACCATTGTGCTTGCTCTCAGTGCCTAATAGTATAGAAGGCTCCGGAGATTTGTGTGTTGACAGCAAGAGGTGTCGTTGTTGGTATATGCAGAAATACAGCCTTTTTTTCTGGAGCTCTGCCTCTGTCTCTCCTTCATCACAGCACAGGGGCCCCTCCCTCTGAATTCGCGCCCGCCGTCTAGCAGGTGCCTAACAAAAAGGGAGAGACCCCTCCCCACCATGGCCTGAAAGCCTGCACGTGACTTGCCCCGCGAAAAGGTGTTGTGTCGGTCAAGGAATTTAGCTTTTCCGTCGCACACTTTAGAATCGCCCGCCAGCACCAAATTTGTGTCTGGGCGAAAGAGTATCGTCGAAGTCTTCCCCCCACCTTTGGAGAGAGAGGACCCCTCGCACGATTTGCGCGTCTAGGGAGAAAGAAAAAAAATTCGAACCTCCTCTACCCACGTCCCCTGCGAACCGCCATCCTTAAATCCGACGACACCGCAACGGGTCACACTTTTCTTTTGATACGGTCGGCGAACACATTTCTTCTTGCATCCGCAGCGTTCGACACAAGCGGGGCATTTTTCTTTCTCGCCGCCGCCGCCCCCTTCCCTTGTCCACACACATTAAACCACAATCATGGCACCCTCTTTCGACCACCTCCGCGAGGCGGATCTTGACGATGACGAGTTTAACGAGGATGAGATTGACACCTCGGATCTGCGAGAGCGTTTCGAGGTCCAGCTAGAGCAGGGTTACGACACATTTGTTGTCGTTGATGGCCTTCCCAAGGTCAACGAAGAACAGAAGCCTAAGCTGGTCAAGTTCCTTCTGAGGAAGCTCGTTTCGGTGGGAAAGACTAGCGAGGAACAGGTCTATATGCCCATGGGAGATGATGGAAAGTCACTTCAGTAAGATATTTTGTCCTTCTTTTCTATCTCTTATTGAGTCTGTGACAGACAGGCTGCTGCCCACCTAATGGGAAATCCTGACAACTCTCGCACAGGTTCGCCTTTGTCGAATACTCGTCGCCTGCCGAGGCCGCCGCCGCCACCCGCCAGCTCGACTTGGTTCCCCTTGACAAGAAGCACACTCTGCGTGTCAACAAGCTGACGGATATCGAGCGCTACGGAAGGGAAGGCCGCATCGACGAGACGTACCAGCCCCCCCATATCGACGAGTTCACCCAGAAGGAGCATCTACGATGGTGGCTCAAGGACCCTGCCGGCCGCGGTCGCGACCAGTTCGTCATGTACCGCGGCGAGAGTGTCGGTGTCTTCTGGAACAACGAGAAGGACCAGCCCGAGAACGTCGTCGAGCGCCAGCACTGGACCGAAACCTTTGTCCAGTGGTCGCCGCTGGGAACCTACCTGACGTCGATCCATGCTCAGGGTGTCCAGCTCTGGGCTGGCCCCTCTTGGTCCCGCCAGGCCCGTTTTGCCCACCCCTACGTCAACCTTGTGGCCTTCTCCCCCAACGAGAAGTACCTTGTTACGTGGTCGAACCGTCCCATCTCCATCCCCGATGAGGGCCACCCCGCTCTGTCCGTCGACGACGATGGCAAGAACTATGTCATCTGGGACATTGCCACGGGAACGCCTCTCCGCTCGTTTGCCAACCTTGACATGCCCAAGGGTGAGGAGGGTGCTCCCCCTCCTAAGCTGCAGTGGCCTGCCTTCAAGTGGTCGTCGGACGACAAGTACGTCGCTCGTCTGACCCAGGGACAGTCCATCTCCATTTACGAGCTCCCCCGCATGAACCTCCTTGACAAGACGTCTGTCAAGATTGACGGTGTCATGGACTTTGACTGGGCACCCGCCACCCCCAAGCGCGACAATATCAAGACGTACGAGCAGCTGTTGTGCTTCTGGACGCCCGAGATTGGCAGCAACCCTGCCAAGGTCGGATTGATGAGCGTGCCATCCAAGGAGATCGTGCGTACGCTGAACCTCTTCAACGTCAGTGACGTCAAGCTTCACTGGCAGTCGGAGTCGACGTACCTGTGCGTCAAGGTGGACCGTCACTCCAAGTCGAAGAAGTCACAGGCCACGACGCTGGAGATCTTCCGCGTCAAGGAGAAGGGCGTTCCGGTCGAGGTTGTCGACACGATTAAGGATACCGTGATCAACTTTGCCTGGGAGCCGAAGGGAGACCGCTTCGCCATCATCACGACGACGGAGCCCGTCGGCGCCACGGCCGTGGCGCCCAAGACGGCCGTTGCCTTTTTCTGCCCCGAGAAGACCAAGGGCCCCATTGCCGGCAACTTCAAGCACCTCCGCACGCTGGACAAGAAGAACAGCAACGCTATTTACTGGTCGCCTAGGGGACGCTTTGTCGTGATTGCGACGGTGCACAACCAGCAGAGCTCGGATCTCGACTTCTTCGACCTCGACTTTGAGGGTGAGAAGCCCGAGTCGGAAAAGGACCTGACCGCCAACCTGCAGCTGATGAACATTGCGGACCATTACGGCGTGACGGATGTTGAGTGGGACCCGTCTGGCCGCTTTGTCGCGACGTGGGCGTCGGTGTGGAAGCACACGGTAAGACACGCATACCCTCACTATATCTGATGGAGACAGGGAGAGAAAGAGAGGCTGACAGTATGATAGATGGAAAACGGATACCACATCTACGACTTCAAGGGAGAGCCCCTTAGGGAGGAGCCCGTCGACAAGTTCAAGCAGTTTTCGTGGCGTCCCCGGCCGCCGACGCTTCTGACCAAGGAGGAGCAGAAGCAGATCCGCAAGAATCTGCGCGAGTACAGCCGGCAGTTTGAGCAGGAGGACAACGACCGCGGCGCATCGGCCGACCTTGCCGTGGTTGAGGCCCGCAGGCACATTCTCAACGAGTGGTACTCGTGGCGCGAGAGCGTCGAGTCGGAGGTGGCCGAGGAGAGGGCGGCCCTGGGTCTCCCTGCCGACCCGCACACTCATCTCCTCGAGGCCAAGACTCTCCAGGTTGGCGATGTCGGCCAGGACCGTGAGGTTGAGGAGATTGTCGAAGAGGTGCTCGAGGAGACGGAGGAGGTGATTACTGCTTGAGAAAGAAGGAGAAAAAGTAACTACGGTGAAATAAAAACAGACGAATGATAATAGAAAAAAAATGAGAAAAGAATTACAGGCAGATGCATTTTCGAAGGGGGCTTGGTCCTGTTTGCTTTCCCCTCTCTGTTTTTTTTTCCAGTGTTTCTTTTGTGTATGGTTTACAGACTTCCTTACTAACAAAAATCCTGGCGGGCGAGGAGGTTTATAGCTAATGAAATTTATGGTGAAATGGTCTATCTTGTGGGCTGGTGGTTTGAGTGACGGGTCATGTGGTGACCGAGTAGTATTATCGAGTTATCGAGCACGAATACGGAGCAGTAGTAACATTACAGATACTGCTACAGCTTACTGTAGGGAGTAGTAGCATCATGACGACTACAAGCAATAATACAAGCGATAATACTGCTGGTACCCGTACTTTGTAATACAGTATTATTTTCCTGATTGTACGACGTTCAACTTTGGAGTGTTCGTACATGTGATTACTGGCAATGAATGCTATGGAGGCCTCAAGTTAGATTATGGCCACCCCCTGCCGATAAGTTATAACCTGTAACGAGCCCCTGGACGGAGACTGATGCCGGTGGATCCATGGAGCTGGGGGTTTGGTCGTTTCGCGGTTATTATTAATAGTAACGATGGCCGACCATGCCTACAGTCTGACAGTGGGCAGTGGGCGGTGGGCACTGGACGCTGGACAGTATACATATACAACAAGTGCGTACTCGTCAGAGGCTGCTTCTGCCCAGCTGTCAGTCGATGGTCTTAAGAGTACGAGTACAACGAGAGACATGTGAGCCATGTACGAACTCCTGCCGTATTACGCTAGACCGGACGGGCTGTAATATTCGTAGTGAGATGTGAATGTTATAAACTCATAACTAGATTCTGCAGTTGCTAGGATTACTCCACACAGTACAGGTCAGTCAGTGCTACTACACTACAAGTACCACTACGGATATATTACTAGCAGTATTGTCAGTGGGTGACACGCAAGAGAGGGGTGCACACTGTCTCAAGCCCTATACTCATACGCACCAAAAGGAAAAGGAAAAGGGATAAAATAGGAAAGCAAGACTTCCAGACTATATGTATCCGTACTCCGTACTCTGTAGTAGTAGTATAGTAGTAGTGGTAGTAGTAGTAGTAGTAGTTGTTGTTGTTGTTTAATATATATATATATATATATATTGGAAAGGAGAAAGAAGCTATCTACCTGTATAAGCTATTATATACCGGAAATAAGGGGCTATCTGGTGACCGTTGTGTGAAAGTCACGTGGCTCTCGGAAATGCCTCATCTCGGAAGCACAACCCCTTAGTGGTAGCAAAAAAACTAAAAAGGCGTGCTGAGTAACATCATGAGACCGAGCCCGAGGCCACGCAATACTGGGCAAAGCATGAGAAATGCCGTCTCAGCTGCTATATGTGTACTCGTATGATTGTGTGTTGTGGTAGTGACGAGATAGGAAATAACCTGATCATCAATCACCCCTCGTCTTGCCTTCTTTCTCCTTCTTACTACATGTAGTAATAGTAAATCGATAATACGGGCGGACCAACTGCGCCGTCCTGGTAGACAGTGGGAGGGTGCTGTCGAGGTCTTGGTCTCCCTCTCGCCCCGCCACAATGAGTACGAGTACTTACGTACATGTGTGAGTACATATTCTCCTACCTATAGCTCTGTTAATTGTGGCTGCCCTGGGGATAAATTCCGTACAGATACTCCCAAGTTCCAAGACATCCGGGTCTCTTGGTCTGGGATTTAGGGAAACTAGGAAATCTCATCCGGACCCCAAGAGGGAGGGGGAGAGGACTCAGAGGGAGGCTCCACTTCCCAGCCGTGCCACCCAACCATTCAATCTTGGCTTGGGACAATCCATGGGCCTCGATGCACTTCTCTCTCTGCCCATGTTACCAGTCACCGTACCCGTACTGCGTATCCCTACTCTCTGCTCTGTACGGAGTACAGGTACTCGAACTGGTATTGCTCCGTACTGTCCGTGGTATTATTACTGGAGTATTATGGCCCTGTACCGTATTACGATTCTTTATTATTACCTGCCTGTACTCGCTCGTTCTCGTCACTTCCTTTGTGCTCTCAACTCTCCAACTCTCCAACTACTCCTTCGTCCCCATATCCCCATCGCCGCTGTCCTCGTTACCACCCTCCGCAAAGGCCTCGGTCTCTCATACCCTCTCGACTTTCCCGCCGTATATACGACTCCGCCCCCTCTCGACCTCTCTGCATCTGCCAGGTGGCTTGGGACGGTCTGGAACGCTAAAACGTGATAAATAATACATAACCTCACCACCACCCACACTGCCACCGCAACTTCCTTACCCCTCTGCAAATACTCGACCTCTGTTCTGGACGACCGACCGATCGATACCTTTCTCCTTTGGCTCAGAAACCTGTCCATACACATACAACCTACACACCTGCTGCACATACGAGCATTAAATTTCCTCAACCCGACAAACCTCCGAGTTTAAAATTCCCCGTCCTTTCCTGGCCCTCATGCCATGGCCTCGTGATTAAGCGCTTGAGCGCCCGACATGCTACAACGACCTCAGGGTCGAGGAACCGGTCGTGGTGGACGTGGTGGACGTGGTCAGGGGACTTCGAACCGCAAGAAGCTTGCTCTCGCCGTTGCCCTCCTTCTCATCCCTTGGGCCCAGGTCGCTTCCGCCGATTCTGGTTCTGTCCGCCAGCAGCCAGATTCCGTCCGTACCGCTGCCAACGAGCTTCACCACCACCATGCCGTCGACACCCCCCGCTACGATGATGCCTCCGTTCCTGCCATCGAGGTGGCTCCCGACAGCCCCGACGACGACGACCACGAAGGAAGGACGAGATGGCCTCCTTCCCACTATCCCAAGCAGCATCAGCAGCATGCTCCCCCTCAGGACCACCACCGAGGCCCTCACACTATAGACAAGAACCTTCTCAGTGACAACAGCCATCACCATACCACCACCAACATCAACCACAACAACAACAACAACAACAACAACATCAACAACATCAACATCAATAGAAAGACCATTCCTAACGATGCGAGCGCCCTCGCAACTTTGGCTCCGGCACAGCCCGTCAGAGCACCACATCCCCAGAAGCGCCAGTGGCCCAAGAGCGTCAGCACCTCGGGCCTCGCGTCCTCGCAAGTAGAGCGGAACCTGGAGGATTGGGAAGTAGAAGACTTTGTTCTTCTGGCGACCATCGATGGAGACCTGTACGCCAGCAACAGGCGGACCGGCAAGGAGCTGTGGCACCTCGAGGTCGATCAGCCAATGATCGAGACTCGTCACCACCGCGCGAACAGTTCCATCCTCGACGACGATTACGAGGCCATCGACCACTACATCTGGGCCGTCGAGCCCGTCCGCGACGGAGCCATCTACGTGTGGATCCCAGACTCCGGCATCGGGCTAGCTCGCACCGGCTTCACCATGAAGCGTATCGTGGAGGACCTGGCGCCCTTTGCCGACGAGGACCCCCCCGTCGTCTACACGGGTGACAAGAAGACGACCCTCATCACCCTCGACGCCGCCACTGGCCGCGTCCTCAAGTGGTTCGGCTCCGGCGGATCCCACATCAACCAGGAGGAGAGCTGCCTGCGACCCTCGGCCCTCTACAACATGGACGCCCCGACGGAGTGTAGCTCCACCGGCACCATCACCCTGGGTCGCACCGAGTACACCGTCGGCATCCAGCGCCGCGACGGCCGTCCCATCGCCACGCTCAAGTTTGCCGAGTGGGTCCCCAACAACTACGACAACGACCTCCAGCAGCAGTATCACACCACTCTCGACAGCCGCTACATCACGAGCCAGCACGACGGTAAGGTATACGCCTTTGACTACAACGAGGCCCGCAAGGCTTCCCCCAGGTTCAGGCAGACCTTTTCCGCGCCCGTGGCCCGCGTCTTCGACGTCTGCCGTCCCTGGGACGCTCCATCGGACAGTAACCCTGAGCTCGTACTCCTCCCCCAGCCTCCCATGCCCACCCATGACGAGGACGTCGCCCGTATGCGCAGCAACAGCATCTTCCTTAACTGCACCGCCTCGGGCAGCTGGTACGCCATGTCTGGCCGCTCCTACCCGCTCATCATCGACGCACCCACCGCCCAGGCCTGCCTCCCGGACTGGCCTGAGAGTGCCTACTCGCGAGAGTATGTCGGCTGGGGCTCCCTCCGCAAGTCTCTCGTGGGGACCCACCTGCTCGACTCGCCCATGCTTAATGGTGCCAGACGCCAGCGTACAGGCGTTCCGACTATAGACGACGGCACGGCTGGAGATGTGCAAGATGATCACCCTTACCTGCCCATCATCGCCCCGGAGGACGAGTTGGGCGGCATCGTCGAAAAGGTCAAATCCCTACCCCAGTCGGCGGCAAACAGCATCCTTGACTTTATCAGCAACCCCACTCTCATCATCGTCTTCATCGTCATGCTTGTCGTCAACGAGAACAAGCTTCGTCGATCCTACCAGCGGTTCAGGGCAAAGGATTTCATGGAAAAGTTCCTCATCCACCCGCTCAAGGACGAGGCCCCTCCCAAGAAGTCCGACGAGTTGGACGACAAGGGCAACACCACACCCGGGTACACGGCCGGGCACAATGATGAGGCCAAGGCCAAGAAGAAGGAGACTGCTCTAGATGACCTTGAAGAGCGGGGTCAAGAGAAGGAGCAAGTGGTGTTGCCGCCAAAGACTGCACCACCCCAGCCGGAAACAGACAGGGAGACTTCCGTCGATGTCGACCCCAACGCCATCTCGCCCGAGAAGAAGAAGAAGGCCCATCGCGGCCGTCGGGGCGGCGTCAAGCACCGCAAGGGCGGCAAGATGCGCGACCCAAACTCCACCTCGCAGGGTGACGAGACCACAGCCAAGCCCGTCGACGATGCCGTCACCAACGTGATGCGGTACGGCGGGGAGCCGACGACCAAGCGGCCTGGCATGGAGCCCAACATCATGACGGTGCAGCCGAGTGACATGCAGGCTGTTGGCGGGCCCATCGTCCGCATGGGCAATATCGAGGTCGACACTGATGTGCAGCTCGGCAGCGGGAGTAACGGTACCCTCGTGTTTGCCGGAAAATTTGACGGGCGTGAGGTGGCGGTCAAGCGGATGCTGATCCACTTCTACGACATTGCTTCGCAGGAGACCAAGTTGCTTCGCGAGAGTGACGACCATCCCAATGGTAGGCTCTCGTTTTACCTTTACATACCGTGTATAGGCTTACGTGCTAACGAACACCCCTCCCGGCAGTCATCCGATACTACTCCCAGCAAGCCCAGGACGGCTTCCTGTACATTGCCCTGGAGCGGTGCGCCGCATCGCTAGCCGAGGTGATAGAGAAGCCGCATGCCTTCCGGGAGCTAGCCAATGCCGGGCGGACCGAAGTGCCGTCCGTGCTGTACCAGATCGCCAACGGCATCAACCACCTGCACTCGCTTCGCATCGTGCATCGTGATCTGAAGCCGCAAAACATCCTGGTCAACCTGGACAAGAACAACAAGCCGCGGATGCTCGTGTCCGACTTTGGACTGTGCAAGAAGCTCGAGGATACGCAGTCATCGTTTGGCGCCACGACAGGTCGTGCGGCGGGCACGTCTGGGTGGCGTGCACCCGAACTACTGGTGGACGATGACGCGGAGTCCTCGGGCGCAGCGCTCCTAGGCGTAGGACTGGACACGGACACGACCAACAGCGGGTCTGGCACGGTGCTGGTCAACGACGGCAGCAGCAACCGTCGCGCCACGCGCGCCATCGACATCTTCTCCCTCGGCCTAGTCTTCTTCTACGTGCTCACCAACGGCCTGCACCCCTTCGACTGTGGCGACCGGTACATGCGCGAAGTCAACATCCGCAACGGCAAGTACAGCCTCAAACCGCTCGACTCCCTGGGAGACTTCTCCTTCGAAGCCAAGGACCTGATCGCTTCGATGCTGCGGCGCAACCCGCGCGAGCGCCCTACGACGCGGGACATTATGTCTCACCCGTTCTTCTGGTCGGCCAAGAAGCGCCTCGCCTTCCTGTGCGACGTGTCGGACCACTTTGAAAAGGAGCAGCGAGACCCGCCCTCCGCCGCGCTGTGTTGCCTCGAGGACAAGTCTCGCAAGATCATCCCCGGCGGCGACTTCCTCAAAAGCCTGCCTCGGGAGTTTGTTGACTCCCTGGGCAAGCAGCGCAAGTACACTGGCAACCGCACGCTGGACCTCCTCCGCGCCCTGAGGAACAAGAGGAACCACTACGAGGACATGACGGACAGTCTCAAACGGACTGTGGGCGCCCTACCCGAGGGGTACCTCGCCTTTTGGACATTTAGGTTCCCAGAGCTACTGCTCGAGTGTTGGAATGTCGTCTGGGATGTCGGGTGGGATACGTCGGACAGGTTCAAGGAGTATTATAGTCCTGCTGGGTTGTAAGTGTGTGTACGCATGTCGGTCCGCAAGTGTGGTATCTTTATATGTTTCGGGGGGTCATCAATGCTGTCAGTTATATTTTGAAGGTTGAAAAAAAGGTTGAAAGGATTCACAAGAGATGTCAAAAGTCGGATGCTCTTTGCAGTCATTATACTAAAACATGCGCTTCTATTTCACCAACTCCGTACGTACTACATCTCATTTTGATTTGTTCTTTTTCTTGTTCGTTGTGGCCAACTTCCATTTTACATGCACCGGACATAAAATGTCGGCTAGGTAAGACGATTGAGAGAGCAAGGCAGGAAGAAGGTTTCACCCCCATGCCAGAAGAACCTTTTTTCCCTTCTTGCCCTTCTTCCCCTGACCCTGACCCTGATCGACGTCGTCACCGTCGACAGCAGGCGTAGACGTTCCACTAGCACTGGCACTCCCACCACCCCACTGGAAGCCCGTGTCGGAAGAGCGGCCCAGGTCCCTACGGACGCCGCGGCCGTTGCCGTAGCCGAAGATGGTGGTGGTGGGCTTGGGAGCAGCGGGCAACGAGGGGAAGGCATCTTGGCCTGTGGGACGTTTGGGGTGGGTCTGCTGCTGCTGCTGCTGCTGCTGCTGCTGCTGTGTCCAGGATGGACCTGATGCGGAAGGGGTGGTGGATGTCCTGGAGGATGAGGATGGCAGGGAGGGGAACGCGGCAGATGAGGAGGGTAGTCTGCCGGAGGAGGAGGAGCCGCCGGACGCGCGGGCCACCCAGTTCGAGTTCGAGTTTGATGACGAGGATGGGGCGGAGGGGGAAGGGGACGGGCCGGCCAGACGCGTGCTGTCCTTTAGCTTGAGGACGCGGTTCGAGTGTCGCTGAGACGGGGCGCCGGCCGGCTGGGCCGGGTTGGCCGCCCCGGCGCTGGCCCAGCCGGTCGACGTCGACGTCTCGCCGTGCATGCCGCTTAGGCCGGGGAGGCTGGGGTAGTCTTCGTTGATGGCGCGCCAGTCCTGCCAGGCTGAACGGAGACCGTCGGCCTTGGCCCGGTCTTCGAACAGGTCCGCCACCTCCTTGACCAGCGTGCCGAGGGAGCTGGACGTCGTGTCGGAGAAGAGCGTGAAGAACGAGTCGATCAACTGCGGCGCCGTCAAGCCGCCCTTCTTGTAAGACGATATGTAGCCGCGGAACGAGTTCAGCTTGGCCTGGTCGTTTCCTACCAGGTTGGACGCCCGCTCCACCACTGCCCCGTGCCGCACCAGTCGCGCGCGCTCCTCGGGCGTCATGCTGGATGGGTCGACGGCCGTCTGGGACGCCAGCAGGTCGGCACCGCCGGTGTCCTGGTTCGCCCGGGAGGCATTGTTCTGTCGGGAGGCGTTGCCGCCGCGAGAGCTCGTGGCCGCCGCCGGCGCCGGCGTGGCCGCCGAGGCCGTGAGCTGGCCGCCAAACGTGCGGTTGGACACCGACTGCGCAGAGTGGATTGCCAGCTGGCGCTGGAAGGCGATCTCGTCTCTTCGCAGCGTCTGGGGTGTCGAGACGGGTGCGATCTCGGCGTTGTGGTCCCTCCCGCGACCGCTTCCTTCCCTCCTACCACCCCTGCCGGAGCGGGCGTCGCCGCCGCCACCGCCGCCACGACGGACGGGCTGGAATGACTCGCGAATCTCGAAGCCCGACATGTTGACGAGGCGGGCCTCGCGGCCGGAGCCGCCTCCATTCTTGGAGCTGTGGTCTTCGAGGTTGTGGGCCTGGAGGTCGAGTTCGGACTCGAAGACGACAAACTTCTTCTCGAGGCAGGCTTCGTCGCGGCACAGGAAGTGATCGTTGCGGAAGTGGTCCTCGAGGGCTTGGTAGTTGCGGTAGTAGTGGGGCTGACGCGAGTCGCGGCGGTCGCACAGGAAGCAGCGCTCGTGCGCCATGCGGCAGTGCTCGTAGAGCTTGTCGTCGTCGTAAAAGTGCTTGGAGCAGAAGCCGCACTTGGGGTGGCCCTTGAAGCCCGTCTGATCCGCCGCGCCGGGCTTGTCGTCGCCGCTCTCCATGTGGCGGTCCAGCTCGCGGTTGCTGAACAGCTCGTGCTCGTGGGTGAAGACGCGCTTGTTGCGCGTGCACAGGTCGCACATGCGCTTCTTGTGGGCGGCCTGCACGTGCCGGTGCAGGTCCGGCCATCCCAGCCCGGCGAAGTCACAGACCGGGCTCGGGCAGTTGTACCGCAGCAGGAGCACGGTATCGCCCACGATGTCCTCCTTGGCGTACTTGATGCCAATGTTGGTGTCGGTCGTGCTGATGTCGCGGTCCGTGTATTCTTCGAAGCGCTTGTCGGGGTCTTGGGAGAAGATGACGTAAGGGGCGGCGGTCTTTGAGGCGATGAACGGTCAAATTGTCAGTAAGAGAGGAACAGGAAGAAGAAGGAGAGGGAGAGGGAGAGGGCCATCCCATACACGGCAGTGGGCACAGTTCTTGTCCTTGTACAGAGCTCTCATGCGCAGACCGCAGATGTGGCAGGTTGAGTGGTTACAGGGCGTTATGGAGTGGTACGTGACCGTGTTGGCGCAGATGAAGCAGACGTCATCGTCGTCGGGGACGTCCTGGTCGCCGGTGGCATTGGCCGGCCTGACGGACGCAGCTAGGTCCTGAGCAGCCGGGTTCTTGAGAGCGGATGTTGCCTCGGATCCGTTGCCGGCGGAAGCAGGACCGGCAGGATCAGCAGCAGCAGCAGCAGCAGAAGCGTTGTCCTTGTCTCTGCCGCCACCGCCTCTCCCCTTGGACCGGTTATTGTTTCCTCGTCCACCGCGGCCACCAGACTTGGCTCCTCCGCGAGACGACGAGTTGTTTCCAGATGAGCCGCCGCCTCTGCTGTTACCACGGGAGCTTTCGGAAGGAGCCATGACGCGGACAATGTGTATGTATGTATGTGTGTGTGTGTGTGTGTATGTGTGTGTGTGTGTGTGTGTGTGTGTTGTCTTGTCTTGCTTTGCTTTAAAGGAAATTGATGGGATGACGGTTGAGCATGACTTTTGCTTCCTTCTCTTTCTCTTCTTCTTTCCCCCTCCTTTCTAACAGATCTGAGCCATCCGACGTTGACTCGGGATATAGGACGGCGTACAGTGTATACTTGTGATGTGTTGTGTGCTGTGTGTGTGAGTGGGGGAGGGGCGGTTTTTTTTCTTCTTTTCTTTTTCGTTTCTTCTCCCAAGGGAACGTTGCCAACCGCTAAAAATGGTCTGGTCCTGAATTTCGCTGTACGAGGGAGTACATATAGAGATTATCGGCGGCGGAGGCAGCGGTGGCGGCGAATGACTCAGCATTTCCCTTGACTGCGTGTCTTGTGTGTACTCGTAAGGCTTTACAGGTACAGATTATTATTACTCGTATACTGCTGATACGGAGATACGCCTTACGGAGGGGGGCGGGCCGGACCAGGGGAATCAGGAGGGAGGTGGAAACATTGCGGAAATGAATGCAGAATGGCCTTGACTGTACACGACGAGTATACGAACCGTAAGCTTGTAACTTGTAATACGTGACCAAGGTTGTAATAGATGAAAGGAAATGGGCGAGTTAATTGTAGTCATATTGGTAGATTACTCTGTACTTGCTAGCATCCATACTTGCAGTGATACGGCCGAGTATTGACTACTCCAAACTTGTAGTATGATCCAAAGTGGTGGTGTATGGACGTATTTGCCCATAGAGGAGGGCCCTGCACAATATTATAATATCAAGAGACTTGTCGAATTCATCTCCCGCTCTACATGAATGGCCACTCTGTATTTCCCTTCATCCTTCTCTTTCCTCTTCTCTTCCTTCCCCATCTTTTTCCTCTCCCCATGCTCTACATATCGCATACATGCGTCAAATGTGGATGAAGGAACCGGTAAAGGGGAGAGAAGTCGTAAAGAATAAGACAATAAAAATAACCTACTAACAATGCAACATCCTTTACCCGTACCTTTCAATAGTCATTTCATGACAGTATGAGAAGAAGAAGAAGAAGAAGAAGAAGAAGAAGAAGAAGAAAAGACAGAGAGAAGAAACAGCACGTAGCAATATAATAATAAAAAAGAAGAAAGAACAATGGGTAGACGTGAGAAAGAACAACAAAAGAAAAAGAAGAGGAAAAGAAAAAGAAAGAAAAACGACAAGAGAGTTTTCCAAACACACTTGCCAGAAATGCTTGCCTGATTACGCCGTCGGCCATCCCAAGATACACGATACAAAAAAAAGAAAAACTCATCCGAAGCCCTGGTATCCCATAATACTCCCGAAAACTTCAATGTCAACTTTGTTGCATGTGTTTCCCTCCCCCCTCTTCTGTCTCTCTTCCTTTCTTTTCTTTAGTGGGTTCATCTTCATCGTAGACGTCGGTCCCAATGTCTTAGGGACACAACACGGCTGGATCGCTCCGTTCTCGAGATCCCAACTTTGGGTGTCTCAGTAACTCGTCTGGGTGATCACATCCATCCTGGACGCCGTATGTTATTGCAGAGGAGAGGGGGCTGATATAAAAAGTAACACGGGGAGGGGGGATGGTAGAATGAATCACTCTTCAATCGGATAGAGGTGGTGTCCGATATCCTTGTTCATCTTAAACATGTCGACCCGCGACTGCTTGAAAATGGCCTGCATCTTGTCGTCGCAGAGAATCTGGCGCTTGTCGCTGGGATCTTGGAGTCCGTTGGCCTTGATGTGTTGCCACAAGCTCTTGACGACGTGGGGGCGGGAGAGCTGCGAAGAAGTGAGCGCGTTAACCTCGGGTCTCCCTCGCTCACCGCTGTACCCTATTGATGGAGAAGCTGCTTCTCGGGTTGACATACCTGAGTCTCTCCGGTAATCTCCTGGAGAGCAGGGCTGAGTAGAAACGGCTTCTGGAAACCGCCCCCGGCCTTGCGCTTGGCGGGCACGGAATCCTCGCTACCATCGATTTCGTTGTCGTCGCCGGCACCGACCTGTTTCGCGCTCTTCTTGCGCGGGGCCTTCTTCTTGGTCACCTTCTTCTTGTCGTTGCCGCCGCGCGTGGACCTGCCGCGAGTCATTCTGTTCTCCTGCGCCTGGAGCTGGGCGGCCAGGCGCGCGTCGGCGTCCTCTACCGACGATGATCGCTTGGCCTTTTTCCGCGCGGGTTCGGGCGAGGCAGAAGGGTCAGTGGTTACAGCATCCGACGCGGCGGCACCATTGGTGACGGCGTGGTCATTCTCAGACGTCGGCTCGGGCTTGGCCTCGGAGATGTGGTCGAATCGCTCTTCGATGAGTTCCTTGATGGCGTTCTAGCGTGCCGGCAATGACGCGTCAGCCTTTCTGTATCCTTCTCCCGCCTTGTCTCCTCACACAGCGAGCGCCGTCACGAGAGAGAGCATGCGCGCGAGGGCGATAGAGGTGATACCTTTTGTTCGCTTAGGTCCTTTCCGCCGAGCGACGTCTCAAGGCCTTGGCGAATCTTCTTTCGGGATATCGTCTCGAGGTCGGCCGTAGCGAGGATGGCATCGATTATCGCCGTGTACCTTGTCCTCTCATCGGGAAGCACTATATCAAATTTTCTCCATATCAGCACATGGTAACATAAGTTCCCTTTTTTTTTTTTTTTTTTTGGGGGGGGGGGGGGGGGGAGAAAAAAAAAAAAAAAAAAAAAAAAAAAAAAAAAAAAAAAAAAAGGGGGGGGGGGGGGAGGGGGGGTCGCGCTTGTGTGCAGAGCAAGGTGAGAGAGAGAGGACGTGATCAAATCATTAAAGTCGCGATCGTTCAGTTCGGTACGTGTATACGTGTGCGCGCGTGTTACCGAAATGAGAGGAGTTGGAGGAAGAGAAGAGAGTGAGAGTATGCGTTTGGCGCCTGTGACGTTTGCGGGTTGACGGTTAAAGGTGGACCGGTAGAGGCGTGATGCTGCTGGATGAGATCGGCAGCAAGCACAAGCAGTAGTAACCCTGGGGG